AGGAAGGAAGGAAGGAAGGAAGGAAGGAAGGAAGGAAGGAAGGAAGGAAGGAAGGAAGGAAGGGAGGAAGGAAGGGTGGAAGGAAGGGTGGAAGGAAGGGTGGAAGGAAGGGTGGAAGGGAGGAAGGAAGGGAGGAAGGAAGGGAGGAAGGAAGGGAGGAAGGAAGGAAGGAAGGAAGTCAAAACAATACGCCCATATTCTGCACTTAAGCATACATTCATGTTCACTTTTCCCTCAAGGCAGTGTTCGTAAAACTGGGATCTGGGAACTCTAGGAATTCTTTGTAAGGAGAGAGGGCAAGCCTGTCACACCCATATGAACAATATGATAACAAAGTCCTCTCAGTTTTCCAGGAAGAAAGGGCAGGGAATTTGCCTCAGAGAAATGGGACTCAATCAGCTCACAGGCACCTGCAATCCAACACCTAGCTTCCAGACTGCCTCACAGCATTAGCTTTAAAGCACACTGATTTTGTGACCGGCCTCAGCCCTGATAGCAGCCAGTTTGTGGTGGTATCTGCTTAAAATTCCAAGTGTGCCCACAGGCTCAAAAAGGTCGTAGATATACAGACATTAAAGTTTACCTTCTTCACAGTTATTGTTGATGTTAAGAAGTTACCTTTTCTGGCATTTTATTTTCTGTGACACTGTTACAAATATTCCGGTCCCAGAGAAAACTCTGTGTGCACTCTGCAGAAACACCTTCTAAGACCAGCTGTCTAACTTTTTCACCATCTAAGAAAACAAAGAATCAAACAATATGCAAAGGGAGAAAAGCACATCAGAGCAAGCTATGGAAAGATTATGAAAAGCTCTTAATTTTGTCTGTTTCCAGACTGTAGCTTGAAAGAACCCATTTGTATATTTCTCTTAGGAGAGTTGTCCTTGGTGTGAATGGATTTGGGATTTTCCATAAGGAATAGTTAAGTTTAGGGAACAATCACCTGCTTAGAAAAATATTTAAAATCAGCTCTTGTTATCCATATCAAAGTACCTCTGTCTGCTTGCCCATAAAGGAGCTGGTGGGTGTTAAGGTGTGGGGGGAGAACAGATAAGAGGGGCTGGAAGTTTAGAAGGATTATTTCGTTGAAAAAGTTGCAAATCAGTTGCGTCTTAACTTTTTGAAAAGCAACAGGCTTCACCAGAAGGAAAACAAATGAGATTGTTTTCCTCTGCACAAATCTGTGTGGCACAGTGGTTAGCATATCAGACCAGGATACAGGAGATCCAAATCTGAGTCCCCGTTCTTCCTTAGAAGCTTACTGGGTGACCATGGGGCAGTCATACATTCTCAGCCTAACCTACCTCATAGGGCTGTTACAAGAACAAGATGGAGGAGAGCAGAATGATGTACGCTGCTTTGGCTTCCCGTAGGGGAGAAAGGGAGAGCAGATAATGAAGTAAATAAAATAAGGAAATAAATAGCAATTTCACATATGATCTGCAGGTGCAATTCAGTGGACTATTTCTACTTGAACACACACTAGATCTATAGATGGCTAAAAAAGGTGAAGGAATGCTACTATTGCTGCCGTTTACCTTGAAGAGACTGCAGAATCTTTATGACTTCAGTGCCTTGCTTAGAACGTGCACCAAAGCATTCTTACCAAGCAAGAGAATGGAACAGTGAAATAGCAAGTACATCATTTGTTACTGTGAAGAAATGCATTTTTTCTTTGGAGGTTTGAAATGAACAAATCCGTCACTCTGGGTTTTAAAAGCCCCCCCTCCCCCCAACGGGCAGAAAACAGGCAGGAAATCAGTTCAATTGCTTCCCAGACTTTTACCTCAGCCCAACTGTCACCCTCCAACAGTCACTCCTGACAGACATAAATATTCATCCACTCAGAATCCGGGCAGGGAACAGCGATTTGGAGGTGTTAAATACTAGAGAGACTTCAGGAAAAGCTTCTTCGACCTGGCCAGAGCAGGTCTGTTCCACTACAGTTACAATTTAAAAAAATACTGCAGAAATGCAAAGAAAGGCTATGGTGCCCAATTTCAGGATAAGATCTTTTTTTAAAAAAACCACACAGAACAGTTGACCTTCAGCCAACCAGACTGACTGCATTTCCCCCACATGACACTGCATCCATCTAAGGCTTTCTCTTTACCTTTTTTGGTTTTCTGCCACCAACTTTGGCTTCCAAGCACTGCCTGCAGAATCCCTCAAAACAGCAAGGGTTGTTACATACAAAACAGCAAGGGTTGTTACATACAAAAGCAGAGATACCCAAGCCAGTGTAAGGTTAAGGGAATCAGAGATGATACAGAGCTGGTGTACCTTCTCCACCTCCAGTATCCATAATTAAGTAGCAGTCGTTTTTACAAGACCCTAAGAGACGCAAAACTTGTGAATTTAGACTCAAAGACAGGCTCCTTCATCACTGGTTATTGCTCTGGGAATGAAGTGTCAGTACTTTAGAGGAGACAGGAGGATGAAACACACTTTTGTTGTGTGACACCCAACAGTGGCGCAACGAAACTTGCTAGGTCCTAGGAAGCAGAGTTCTGGAACTGCTCCTGATTTACATGGCAGGGAAGGCCCAAAGCTCAGAGACAAAGCATGTGTGGTTTCACCGACAGAAGGACCAAGCTTCTGTTCCTGGTGCCAGTTAGAAGGATCTGAAATCACAGAGCAGGGAAAGATAGAAACGGGAGAGTTGCTGCTCTTCAGAAGAGGTACGGCTGGCCCTGATAGAACAATTCTCCAACTTGGTTAAATTCCCAAGGAAGATAAGATATAGACAAACCTGAGTAAGGAAAAGGCCCATGTGTTTTCATATAATGCTCTGCAAACAGTTTTTCTAAAGATCAAGAGGATTTCCTGCCTTTTTACCTGCACAATTACTGAAAGAGAAGTGACTACGTGCAGACTCGGTTAGAAGTGAAATCATGAACTTATGAAACTTGCAAACGTGGTTGATGGCACTGCATTATGTAAATTCTGGTTCTTAAAACAAACTACAGAAAAGCTACCTAACCCCAATATCAGAGGTGAGGAACTGTAAGCACATCCCTTATTTTCTACAGTACTTATTGTAATGATTCCTTGTTTATGCGTGTGTATCTCTTTTAAAGTTTGGTTGCATGTTAGATTAGTCTAGAGTGTTTGAAGAGACAAGTGTGATGTGATTGGTGATTGACAGAGAGGGGGATGAGTTTTGGAAGTGATTCTGAGTGGATGAATATTTATGTCTGTCAGGAGTGACTGTTGGAGGGTGACAGTTGATGAGGACAGTAAAACAGTTAGTTAGATAGTTCTGAAGTGGGAGAGAGAAGCTGTCTTGTGGATGATATAGGAGTTAGTTCTGTGTATGAAGAAGAGTTGAATGTATATGAAAGAAGAAAGTAAAGTTAAAGAGAGAATTAAAAAGTCTGAGTGACAGGATAAAAAGAAACAGTAAACGTATATGGCCTAAGGAAAAAAGTGTTACAAAGTTACATGCCAAAATCCCTGACAGAAAGGGAGCAGATCTTGTGTGAGACACTAAGCAATTGTTGAAAATATTCACATTACTGGTTACATAGTTATACCCTTGTATTTACGAATTATATCAATAAATCTACTTTTATTAAGATACCAGCTCTGAAAGAAATACTTCCCAGGACCACATTAGTACCTCGAAAGCTATTAACCCGACCTACCTACCCAGTGATAGAATTAGTATAGTATAAAGGTTTGGAAAGCCTTAAATTTCCTGGTGGCAGCCGGATATACACAGTAAAACAAAACATAAAGAACACTTTTAAAGAGAAACTAGACCTCCCCAGAGAAGGGGTTGTCACACTTATGTTCTCTAGCTTACAGAAAGCATTAAATGTACTTTTATGTATGTTCTCTATCTTACAGAAAGCATTAAATGTACTTTTATGTGACACAATAGAAGCTGAGTGTTCATCTCAGGTTATAGCACCTGTTGGCCTCGCCAGGAGTCGAACCTGGATCATCTGCATAGTTTAACAGAGGCTTCCACTGAGCACAAGACCAGTTTGGTGCAGAGTCCCTTCCTCATAGCTGTTTTCAACATAAACCTCATCTAGCATGTGTGCATCTACCTAGCAAGTCTACTACCGGGAACATTTCAGAGCCATAAAAAGGACAGCGACAATCCAAGTAATCTGTATTTGTTTTGTTTTTTTAATGCAGGAACTCAACTTAACATGGTGGGTTATGTTACAGAGGACACTTTACCTTGATATTTCTCTGGATTTGGCATGGCCTTTGACCTGTTTTTTGGCAAATTGAGTCGTGGATCCCCAACCGTCAAACCCAATATAGTACCTGATGGAAGGTTTGAAGCACTTAACCCTTAAAAACACAACACATGAATGAGATGCATCCTTAAACAGTTTCACCAATAAATATCACCAGTATACAAACTCATGCTACACTGCTGCCTTGCATTTTGCATTTGGTCTACCAATGGGCATGCAACTATCCTCTTGGAAATTTCAATGCAAGAAACTATCTGAGGCCTCTGGAATTGGGACCACTTGAATAATAAACCAGGAACTTCACGGGAGGCATCTGCCTTTGGCTTATGTGTCTGAAAGAGAAAACTTAAACACTGAAGGGAGCTACATCAATGTTTCCCAGTCTGATATTAAACTGACTGCACCTTCTTCAGATTTTTGATATTTCAGGACAAAGGGAGGCATCCTATCTATATTTTGCAAAAGAATACAGCTCCCTCAGCAGACTGAAGGAAAAGCTGATTTTCCCACACACACACCCACTGCAGACCCCCAACTTTGCCTCCTATGCTCGTCCTGGAATTCACTGTCCCCCCAACCACCACCTGAGGCACAGCAGTGATTGCTTTGGTGAGTGCTGCTCTACTTACACTAGACAGGATCCAACCCCATATACTGTGTAGCTTGCAAAACGCAAAAGCAGAACTCAACACATGGGCTATAGTTTCCCCCCCCCTCGAAGATCAAAGACCTAATGATCTGAAAATGGCAAGGACTATGCAACCCTAAAAAGGATACCTATCCTTTTCGTGGTATGTTACGTTTCTGTTCTCTTTATGAGTGGCTGCCTGTACCCCTTGAAAACTGCAAAGGTAGGCTTCTGTATGAATGATACTTTATTACACCAGGATAAACGTTCACCAACCATTCCAAAGGAGCCATATTCAAAGCCAAGTAAATACTGACAACCTTTTGAGGTTCTCACTAGAAAGAAAGGGGAAGAGCATGAGCAATATTACCTCGCAAAAGTTCAAAGACTGCTTCTTGACGACGATGAAGAGACACCTGCTCAGGATTTCTGCAATTTTCTACCCACCAATTTTTAATTTCAGAATCTGTAGTGCCCAGGTCCTAGAAAGACAGTGAGTCTATGTAAGCAGGGGGAAAGATATAGTGTTGGATCCCATAAAGCATTTCTGTCCACACAAAAAGGCTTCAACTGGAGGCAGAGGCTGTTAGTGTTGCCTAACTGTGCTTCCCTACATCATGCGGTTTTTTTTACCAGATTGCCCCCCACCCCCCCATCCTTGGCATTGCCTTTACAGCCCTCGCAAGTGTCTGGAAAGATCTGGAAAGAAGGCAGGGAAGATCTTGCTCTCCCTTCTGTTGGCTCTGCACAGGGTCCAACCTTTAGCCTGTTGCATAGCTTACCTCTCTTCCTTTTACCTAAAGGGCTGTTGTGTCACATTTGTAATTCTTGCCTAGGGCGCCAGCATCAACATGAAAACTGGCTAGAGTATAACTGCTTAGAAACCAGTCTGAAACTCTGGGCAAAGTTTTCCAGAAGTATGCAAATCCAAGAATGAGCTGGCATGGTGGGTTGGATACAGAGATCCATCAGTAGGAGGTGCTCAGAGATTTCCCCTGTCTCCCCCACCGCAGCAGTGCTTTCTGAACCCAGAAAAGTTGATTTCAGGGGTTGCAGGATTCACACACACTCAGTGCCACATGGGTTGGGAGGCTGCAACTGGGAAAGGGAAGGGGAGAAAGTCACAATCAGAAACGCTCTGCTTGTGGAAGAGGAGGGAGGGAGTGATATTGCCCCCTTCTCCCGCCTCACTGCTGTCCACCAACCCATGTGGGCCATGAGTCCTCATAGGTATTATGATCCTGGAAATAAAATTTAATATAACCCACAATCCTTGCTCTGGATACAACCCCATGACAACGTCTATGCAGCAGTCTACGCTTAGAACAGTTCTGCCTCTAGGGTGCTGGAAAAGGGACCAGTCGCCAGAGCACTGCATGAAATAGGGAGTTATCCTATGAGTCTCCGGATCATAACCAGGAATGGCAAAGGCTCCGGGACCTTCTGCTGCCAGCTGGCCACGCTGCATACAACATTTCTACACAGTTTCCACTTTATTTTTATAGGGGGCTTGGTTGTACTTTCTTCCTCTTAACACGCCATTCTTAGGCAATCCTTCAGAGTGTGGCTGATTTCATCAGTGCTACAGCCATTCGGAGCACAAAATGCTCCATGGCCCATTTCTGACAGATTCCGCACTCTGGTATAAAGGTAAAGGTTCCCTTGCTCGAAAGCCAGTCAAATCCGACTCTAGGGTGGCAGTGCTCATCTCCGTTTCAAAGCCGAAGAGCCAGCGCGGTCCGAAGACGTTTCCGTGGTCATGTGGCCGGCATGACTAAACACCAAGGCGCACGGAACACTGTTACCTTCCCACTGAAGTGGTACCTATTTATCTACTTGCAATTTCCTGCTTTCGAACTGCTAGGTTGGCAGGAGCTGGAACTAGAGACGGGAGCTCACTCCATCATGCGGCAACCCGGGTCTCGAACTGCTGAACTACTGACCTTCCACAGCCTGCAGTTCAGCGTCTTAACCACTTGAGCCACCGCAGCTCCTTACTCTTGTATAAACACGAGTAATTAGCAGTAATGTAGCACAATGTTCTGGCATTTATACATATTACTAGTCTAGTATTTTATCCTGAGGCTGCAAACAAACATGCCAACAGTGGATTCTTCTTACAGTATGGACAGAGGCAGCCTTGAGTGACTCTGTAAGGACACAGTGCGAAAGAGGACCAATCAGTCGATATCGGAGGATCTCCATGGTCAAGTCCCTGGAAGAAACAAGAGTTATAAAGTGAAAAATGAAGCTTGTCGTCAGCAGATCATTCAATCTAAGTGCAAAAGACAACCAAGGTCTACTGCTTTAATAAATACCTGATCGCAATCCCAGTAGTCTGTGATACCCAGGAATACGGCTGATGGGGGTCTCTGGTTCCATCACCAATGATTTTTTTCACAGGGACAACCATTTTGCTGTCATCGTTCCTCTTCCTTTTTTGGCCAACTTTTTCAGTGACATCCATTCTGTTTTCTCCTTGGGACAGTGTCACCACCGGTTTGGGGTTACAGGGTTCCAAAGGCTCCGAACAGTGGCAGACGGCCTTCAACTCCGCCAGTATATCCTAAATGAGGGGGGGGGGAAGAGGTTCAGATTTGATGAGGTCCATCTTCTCAAGAGATGAAAGCCAAGGTATTACTTGTGAAGGCTTGCAGATGGACTTTGTAGATAAATATGATTGATACCTGGAGTCTCCTGACCTGTATGGCTATTAGACCACACAGGTACCATGAACCTGGTAATAAACTTTCCCCAGGGTCAGAATAGATTGCTGGGAGGAGGGGAATGTGGGAAAGAAGAAGAAGAGAAGAGATTGGATTTATACCCCGCCCTTCACTTGGAGTCTCAGAGCGGCTTACAAACTCCTTTCCCTTCCCCTCCCCACAACAGACACCCTTCTGAGGTGGGTGGGGCTGAGAGAACTCTGACACAAACTGCTCTTTTTCAAGGACAGCTGTGCCAGAGCTTGTGACTGACCCAAGGTCACATCAGCAGGTGCAAGTGGAGGAGTGGGGAATCAAACCCGGTTCTCCCAGATTAGAGTCCGCACACTTAACCACTACACCAAACTGGCTCTCTGTGACCCTCAGGTTGTTGGATCCCAACCAAGGCTTTGTGAAAAGATCCTTTAGTTCAGTTCAGTTCCCTAATTTCAGCAGTACAATTCAAGACGAAAAACATTATTTTGGGCAAATTCACGTTCACCCAGTTGATCATTCCCTTGGCGCTCCCCCTCCACCCCCTAAGATTAACGCAAGGCTCTAAATGCCCCGTGCATTGGGCTGCTCATGAGGATCTGCAACTGGGAGCTTCTCCACATGGAAGCCCAACTCTCACACCTCATGTTATGTAATAAGTATGATGGAAGAGGGAAGCGCAAACACCGCTTGTCTTCTACTACTGGCAGCAGAGTGATTGCAAGGGAAGCTTGGGAACTGGCCCCAAATTTCATTTGCAGAAGCAGTGGCCATTTACATTTGTCAGAAGCATCCACATCCCACACATTTTAAGGGAACTCACAGTTGCGAGGCTTGTACCTGCTTAAAGACTGGATGCGTCCATATCCACAGCTGCCGGCTGCCGGAAGCACTGTCGGTTTCATGTCTGGGTTTCCAAATGAAGGTAATGGGACCAAGAGCACCATCAGGGTACTGATCTTTTCGGTACAACATGAGAGCACCCTGACGTCTCCCACCTAGGCAAGAAATAGCTGCGAATGTTGGACCTAAGGAGAGACATGTTGGAAAAAAGCAAGACGGTGTTTATCTTCCAAGGTACACGCACTCGTCATAACGGGCTGGGATCATTTTGTTGAAATGTTACCTGTGTCTACACTGCACATTTGAGCAAGCGCTGTTAGGAGTTCTTCCTCTTTTCCAATCAGCTCCAGGCAACAGTAGTATGATAAATCCTAAGAGAAAGAAAAGCTATTGAAATTAAATCTGGCATGAGCGGTAAGGGGCGGCCAGATGATTTAAAAAAAAAATTGTTTATAAGATTCGAGTTATTTTTCCAGTTTAATGTATGCCTTCAAAATGACACGTAAACCTTAACCTCCAGAGGAGTGATCCGCTCAATCCAGTAAACTAACATAGGTGGTGACTGAACACATCAAGCTGCCTTCTGTTGAATCAGACCTTTGCTGCCGCATCCTCAAGGTCTGTACTGTCTAGTGGGACTGGCAGCGGCTCTCCAGGGTCTCAGATAGTGGTCTTTCCACATCACCCAATATTTTTAGCTGGACTGAGTGAGGCTGGAACCTTCAGAATGCAAAGCATATGCTTCAACCACCGAGACACAGCCCCTCCCCTCCTTCAGCAGTTATCTGGCAGATGTCTTTTCAAATACAAAAAGGTCTGCCGCCGATGGCAGAAGATGTCAGAGACTGTCCAAGCTTCCTAGGCTATAGAGTTCCAACAATCCTGCACTGCAATCAAGATACTTTTGCTGTGACCTCACAGGTCCCACTCGGTCAAAACAACCAACCAAACAGGATGCTTAGCAGAGTTCTGCCAGCTTTACCTTAAGATATGAGGAAACCTGGGTAGGGACAAGGGAAGGTGCTTTTCATATGGGACATACACTGAAGGTTAAAAAAAACAGAAATCGAAACCAGCACTGTGAATTTGTCCCACAAGCTAAGCAGAAGCACTGGTCAAAATCTTCCTTGCTGGGTTAAAGCTCCATACTACTGTATGAATGAACAAAGAGTTACCTAGCAACATCCAAGACCAAAATGTTCTGTTATTCATTGTTAGCAACCAGCACCAACAGACATTTTTTTGGGGGATCATCACACAAAATTGGTCAGATGCAGCCAAGTCAGGCAACTTCCATTTTTTTGTCCACCCAACAGGGGCTTTTAACTGCTGTCACATGGCATCTGTTCCTCTAAAGACAGCAGGGCGTGGTTTGACGGCCAGACCATTTGCACATCCATTCCTGCCAAGGTAAAGCATTTATAAACATTCACAGCACCTGAAGCAGGCAGTGGTTCGCCATGGCTCGGTAGCAGGCTCGATAGCATTTGGTGGTGGGCCTGTCTCCTAAGCAGTAGCCCCACTTCTTCACCATGTGAAATCGTTTTGCATGCCAGATGTGTGTTTCCAGCCAGATGTTCTGCTTCTGTCTGCGATTGAACTCAACCACCAAGTTTATATGACGTCGCCTCGCTTTACGACACTTGCTCTTAGGGAGATCTTTTTTCTGATGTTCTGGTTTCTCTGCCTGTATGGTTGGGACATGGATTAACATTTTAATGCTGTCACAAGGACAGGATACCAGGTTTAGCTCCTCTAACACAGCATAATTAAAGACCACATTAATATTAAGATTACAGGGATCTTCTCCAAGATTTTCAGTTCTGGGGACAAAGTTGTCTCTCAAAGTAAACTGGGGAAACCATCTCGCAGCTAGTGGCTTACCAGGTTCTAACGCCCAGAGATGTAACAATTTCGTCTATGTAAATTGCTTGCCAGATCACTGCTTAATTAGCCCTGAGACAGATTTGGAAATGAGACTAGTAGTTCATGAGCTGATAAAAAATTTTGTACTTTCCTTCAAGGGCAAGATCAAACGTATTTTACAGATAAAGATAGCCTAAAGATGTCTGATAGCATCTATGGGTGTGCACTGGGATTCACCTGAGCTGAAAATATACTCGAAAAATACTTATCAGTATTTTCCAGGTACATTTCAGCATCCCAAAGATATCCGGGATCCTTTGGGAAAACTGAAAAAAAATTCCCCCCAAAATCCTGGATATATTTGGGGTAGATCCGAAAAATGGCAGAGAAGTGGAAGCATATTGCTCCCACCTCTCACAGCTGTTTGTCAGGCTTTCTGCAGTCCCTTTAAACTTTAAAGGGACTGCAGAAACCACCCTGAGGATAAGCTGAGCAAGCTGGAAGTAGAGTGCTTCCGGCTGGGTCAGCTTAGGGCTGGCTTCTCCTTGCAGCCTTGTTTAGACAAGGCTGCAGGAGAAGCCAGCCCTCAGGTCAGCTGAGCCCGCAGGGAGATGGGTCAGCTGTCCGTCAGGCTGTCTTCTGCAGTTCTTTAAACACCCCGTTTAAATGAACTGCAGTAGAAAGCCCAAAAAACAGCTAACTGGGGGAGTGATCTGCTCCATCTGTAACCTGCTTTTTACGTTATTTTTTTTAACTGTTTTCTTTTTCTTGGGTCTATTTTACCCGGAAAAAAAATTGGGATTGCCGAAAAAACCTAGATACTAATGCAATACTGGTATTGGGATCCAGGACTTTTCAGAAATTCTGATTTTTTTCAGGTCCAATAGAACCAAACTAGAAAATAAAAGGGGAAAAAATTTGCACACCCCTAATAACATCCACTTCAGAAGTTAAGTTGATCTGGGCATCACAAAATACTTGTTTGGAGGCTGCCTAGAAATCCCATGCTAACTAACAAGGTTCCTTGGCCTCCTCTGGAAGTGCCAGACTCCATACCTGAAAATAATTCCCCACTTTGTTCTATGAACTCACCTTGCAATGTACCTATTATGCTCCTAGTGCCCCAAAATAATCTCAGCCAACAACCAAATTCTGACCTACCTCCCAACTAGTTATCAGCAAATTGTTAACGAGCTCCTTCGCTATCTTTCTACCCAATGGTACTATTTAAGAGGAAAGAAAATCACCGCCCCAGCAGGTTTACAAGGAAGGTGTTCCACAGATACAGATCTTCTATATCTTCATCTGTCAATTGTTCAGCTGATATTAACAACCATGAAAGTATACAGCACAGAAGTGACCTGCCAAGTAGACACAGACTGTATGCATTTAAAAAAAAAAGCTGAACTGCACTTCTTTAGCTAATGGAAACCAATGCAGTTCACAGAGCACATCGAATGAAGGTGGGAGGATGTGGGGATCCAAACAGAGTATCTACAGAAGAAGAGTAATCAGAAGTCACCACCTTCCAGAATAAGGAACACAGTACCACAGTGAGCCTGCCACATCCTGTGACGTGATCACAGGGACAACAGCAATTTCAGTCCTGCACGTTTTTTAAAAAATTAATTAGGAGTACACAAAATAGAGTACACAGAAGTATCATCTCCCACTTAACCCACAAGACAAAAAAAGCACCTCTGCTCTGGCAAGTTCACGGAGCCGCCTGGGCAGGCGCTTGATATTGTGGCTCATTGCCCGCCTTCTCATGTGCCTCGGCAGAGACTGAAACACTAAGGTATTGGAAGACTTCTTTCTAACCGCCTTCAGCATGGCCTTTATTTCAGCCGCACGAGCTCGGACGAAAGAAGAGACTGAAATTAAGAGCACAAACTCGTTCAGAACATGTAACGTGACGGATTATTTATTCAATTCATTTATTGCCCATCTTTCTCATTGAGATTCAGCGTATATTACAGAATTAGAAAACAATGCAGTAGAGAGCAGTGTAATACCAATGAACAAGGCAATAGTTTAAAAACCCACCAAAAACTTTTCACTTTTAGGTGGTAGTGACTTATAGTTTTTGCAGCTTTTAATAGTTCTGTTTTTGTTACCTGCCTTGGGTCCCAGTTGCTGATAGAAGACATCACAATACAAGCTGCGATGCTTAGCCTAAATTATCCTCCATTGTGAAAATAAACCCTATCAGCACTTGAAGGAGATTAATATATGAATATAAAAAGTCATGACAATTCTAAAGAGTTATGGTGTCTCTTTCATTCTTTTTTTCTTGCTTACCAGGAAAGTACAGGCTTGTTAACAGTCACCTGCATGGTTGCCTTTGGCAAGAAGAGAACTGCTGCCAGAAAACCAGGCATGGAAGCATTACAGGAACCCTTTCTTTCTTTTAACAGGCCTGAGATCAGCTTGTTCAGGCAGGCTAATACAAGTTGACTGTATCCTGACACATTAGGTGAACTCATTTTATCAGAAGCAGCCTAACAGTTATTTATATACGTAGTACGTTTTTACCCTGCCCTTCTCTAAGGGGCACAGGGCTCTGCATATACGGATCTCGCCAGTTCTCCATTTTTTCTTCACAACAACCCAGTGAAGTAGGTTAGTCTGAGAGTGTGTGACTGACCCAAGGTCACCCAGCGAGCTTCCATAAAGGGGTTTTGAATCTCGGTCTCCTAACCCCTTGTCCAACACTCTACCCACTACAACACACTAACTCATTTTATTCCAGTAGACACCATTTTGTCATAAAAGTAACTACTGTAATTCTAGGAAACCTCTGGCTAAGGAACACAAAGCAATGAGTTCCAGACTTGCTTTCTGCCAGCAGGAACACACTTGGGAGGGAGGATTTCCATTGATTTCCCCCTCCCCAAGTATCTTCCCCACGTAACACTCCACGCTGTTCCTGGGGTTCCCTGAACTCAGGGGGAGAGTAGGTGAGCTGCAGCTGAAGAAGGAAGGCTGAAAAGCTCATTTGTGCAAACTGAGGTTTGAATCCAACTCAAGATAAAACTCCACTGATCGGCTAAATGTTTCTATCACAATTAATTATATTCTCTTTAAATCCACCAGCATGAGGACAGGTTTATATTTTTAACCTGCTACAGATCTCAAGATGGACAGAGACCTGACACATCAGCAGCTTTCCAAAACTGCATTATTGCATAGGAAATGTCACCGTGTATTAGCCCCTATAACCTAGCTTACAGCTTAACATTTAAGTACATGGGTCTCAAAGCAAGGATGAATACTCCTTCACGGATATTTACCTGTTAAATATTTAGGCATTCCATGGGATGTGCTTTGATGAGAGACTCCTCGTGAGGTTTCAGAACGTAATTCTATAAAGTCAAAGAATTTTTTTTAAAGAAATGAATATAAAACAGCGTTCTGAAGTAGCAAGTACACATGACAAAATATATTAGTAATCCAAACGATGACGGGAATTATCAAGACTCACTTGCCATTGATTAGGCATATAAGAAGTTCAAACCCCTTTGGATCTAAACAGCATTTAAACCTCAATAAGTTTACACAACACTGTACGAAGAGACTACAGGAGAGATTTGTAAGGCAATCCATTTGCAGATACTTAATACAGTCAAGTGTTTGAGCAACAAACAGACCTAGTGTTAAGCTACAGTCCATATTTACATGGCTTACCCTCACCTAGCTGACCCAAGTAGCCCAATCTCAGAAGCTAAACAAGATCAGCCATTGGTAGTATTACGATGGGACAGCACCAAGGAAGTCCAGGGTTGTTATGCAGAAGGAGGCAATGGGAAAACACCCCTATTCACCTCTTGCATTGAAAACCCTACAGGGGTCGCCATAAACCCACTGTGACTTGATGACACTTTCTACCAATAACTCAGTGACATTTACTCCAAGTACTACTACTGACATCTGTGCATAATCCTGGAAGACTGTTGCAACAATGAGCCCCATTGAATAGACCTAAGCAGGATTCTGAGTAGACCTGCTCAGGATCACTCTCAAAATCTAACAGACCACTATGCTGATCATAAGTGTTGTCAGTGTGTTAGTACTAGATTACTTACTTAACATATGGAAATCCCAAACCCACGAGAAGCCGTAATCAGTAACAATTTCTGCTGAAGGAGTGAGCAGTGACTCACAAAAGCTCACACCCTGCCACATATTTTGTTAGTCTTTAAGGTGCTACTGGACTCTTGCTCTTTTCTACTGCTGCAGACAGACTAACATGGCTACCCATTTTGATCTAATTTCTGCTTACCATTTACTATTAATATAAGCTGTTCAAAGCCCTTTTAAGCATGTTTGTTCAGGAGCAAGGACCAAAACGGGATTGTTGTTTTAATTCACCCTAAAGATCCCTGCTTTTTGTTGCATCATCACACAACTGCAGCACGAGGGTGCATAGTTGACACAAAACAGAAAATTATGCTTCCTTGTTCTTTCTGGTCCATGCAGGGTATGCTCAGAAGCAGAATGGCAACAGTAGAGAGGCCTGGGGAGCAACCGACCATTTCTCCAAGCCCCAATGCATCTGCCAAGCAGCACCTCTAAGAAATGGAGACCTAGTTCTGGTCTACTACATATAGGACATCATTCATCACTCAAGGTCACTTTACCAGGCACCCTAGTGATTAAATGCGGCATTATTATTTTATAAAAAACTAAACTCCAAATCTATACAAATATTACAGCCAGTAAATTATGATTGCCTTGTTTCCTGCGATGGTGAGTTCCTTCACCTCCATTCTGACGCCGTATTTCGCGGGGACTAGGGCCACCGTCAGAAGGAAAGATCACACTGGCAGGCTGATTTTTCATTTTCTTGGCCCTCTTCTTTTCTTTTGCGTTTGACATTTCTGCAATAAGATGTTATGTGTTTATTCACAAGCGACCAACAGCTATTGGCTCCAATAGAGCTACTGTCACATACAAACCACCAGCACCACAGTCACAACTCTAAATGATACCTACAGCTATTTAGTAGCCTAGTTTAAGGAAGTTATGCCTTCAATAACTTCAAAGGTAGAGCTTTAATTAATTAATTACCACATTTGGAACCCATTCTGGGAACACCCAAGGAGCTGAGGGCAGCATACATGGCTCTCCCTTCTTCATTTTGCCCCCCCTCCCTTTCATAAAATGTTCAGCCGACAGAGACAGCAGGGGGCCTTAGAGCTAAATGGGAATCGGAGCCCGGGGGGGGGGGGAGCTCTGAAAGCAATTAATAAAATGTACACAAAAAGGACAACAATTTACCATTATATTATAGCTCCACAACCATTGCAGAAATCTATGGCACCTTTTAATTAATATAGTACTTGACAACTTTCTCCTGCATTTTTTGCAGCAGCGTCTCACGCTGCAGAGAGTGAGTCAGCACCTACTTCCTACTTTGGCTGCAGTTCATCTCCCCTACAGCTGCAGTATCAGCAGATATGGCTCAAAGCTTCAGCTACCTCTCAGGGGCTCTTAAGAGTTACCCCACTGCAACCAAAAACAACTAAAACAAAGTTTTGGATTTCCCGAAGTCATTCAGCAGTAGCATCTCTCACACTTTCTATAAATCTGCATCCCCACAAATGTCCTTTTATTAAACCTTTTAAAATAAGAAAAGAAACATGCCTCCTTTAACGCCTGCTCTAAGGTACTGGGATCATGTGAGGTTTGGTAACATTCCTTGCAATCCCCCCCAAACGTAAACAGCAATAAGTGTCTTCTAATTACAGAATTAAAAGAAGAAGAGATTGGATTTATACCCAGCCCTTCACTACCAGGAGTCTGAGATTGGTTTACAATCTCCTTCCCCTCCCCACAACAGACACCCTGTGAGGTAGATGGGGCTGAAAGAGCCCTGAGAGGACTGCCCGTGAGAGCAGCTGCATGTGGAAGACTCAAACCCGGTTCTCCCAGATTAGAGTCTGCGCTCCCAACCACTACACAAAACTGGTATAGAACATTAGTACAGGACATTAATGCTTAGAAGCAAAGAAGCATTTTCGTTAAACCTTCAAGGGCACATGACACTCTCCGTGCAAGTCAAGTGAGGGGGCACTCTACACACACGCAGCATTACTCTTATAATTATTGCAATGAAGCGCCCCCCCCCCCTTTCCACCATCAGAGAGCTCCGGACGATTCGCAGAGAGATTGCTCAGCTTCGGAAAGTTGTAGCGTCATGCGTCCCCCAGCTGCACCTTGCCCACCACAGCACACAAATCAAATCACACAGAAATCTCAGATGGGGTGACGGCGGCAAATATATGCTCCCTGTAGTCAATCAATCCGGTCCATCGATCTGGTCCATGGGGTCGCAAAGAGTCGGACTCGACTGTGCGACTGAACAACAAAAAAGTCAATCAAAAGCCTCGTGGAGGCCCAGCCTCCTTGATACCTAGGGCTGCTGGTTTGGGGAGGGGTAGGACCTCAGCAGGGCATAAGGCCATTAGAGGCCACCCTCCAAAGCAGCCATTTTTTCCAGGGCCACTGACCTCCATAGTGCGGGGATCAGTTGCAATTCCAGTTCTCCTGACCCCACCTGGAGATCGGCAAATCCTATACCCGTAACCATCCATCCCGCTGTACCCTGCCCTTTCCTTAGCTTAAGGAAAACGTTGATCCACTGCACTCGAGCCTACCCGCAGCAGCCTGGACCCGGCGTCCCCTACGCTTCCAGCCAAACCTCAGGCAGCCGTCAGCTCCGCTCCTTACCGCCGCAGCGCTTTTTCCACAAACCAACCACGTTGCATCCACTTCCGCCAAGACCTGCCACGCATGCGCACTCTCTCTCCATCAGGTAGGGCGTCTCTGGTCCCTTGCACATGACCACCCCAAACTACATGTCCCATAATCCTTCGCCGGAAAAGGACGGTTTCCCGGAGGAGGGAAGAGACCTTCGCAAAAAAAGGGAGGGAAGCGACGAGTGGGTTTTTTTGTTTGAATGGCTCGGGGGCGGGGCGAGGCGGGGCTGGAGCAATGCCGGGGGAGCTGCTGCGAGTGTTTCTGCGCACGGGGTGCAAAGTTCAGAGAAGCACAAAAGCGGCTCAGACTTCGCTGGACCCCCGACGAAGAGGAGCAGCAGCGGGGATGGCCACGTTAGTCAAGAAGATCATCCATACTGCTAAAGCTCCGGCGGCCGTGGGCCCCTATAGGTATTACGGTTATTATTTGCTTAATTTGAATCTCACTCTGTTCTCCATTGGTGGTCCAAAGAGCTTATAAACCACCACCCCCTTCTTCATTTTATTCTCACAACAGCCCTGTGGGATAGGGTGTGACTGGCGAACTTTCATGGCAGAGGGAGGATTCTAGTCCGACACTCTGACCGCTATGCATTGTTGTGGTATGAGAAAGGATTGGGGTTTTTTTTAAAGGAAAATGGGAGCGAGGTGTATAGTGGGAGTTGGTTGTCATGGGGAAAAATGGGGCTGGGGGAAAGTTAAGAAGAGTCCATAATGGTTTTTTGCTTTCTCTTTTTAGATCTCTTATATCTCATCTGTGGAGTATTCTCCAAGGTGTTCAGATTGGTGTTCATGTCTCTCTTCCAACACACTTTATTCTTGCAACAGCCTTGTGAGGTAGGATGGGCTGAGAGTGCAAGGGACTGCTTCAGGCCCATAGTTAATGTGGGGCCCATGGGGCTGAGCCCTCCACCCGAGAGCCAGTTTGGTGTAGTGATTAAGTGCGCGGACTCTAATCTGGGAGAACCGGGTTTGATTCCCCACTCCTCCACTTGCACCTGGCTGGATGACCTTGGGCAAGCCATAGTTCTGTCAGAGTTGTTCTTGAAAGAGCTCTGTCAGCCCCACCCATCTCACAGGGGTTCTGTTGTGGGGAAGGGAAAAGAAAGGAGTCTGTAAGCTGCTCTGAGACTCCGAGTTAAGGGCGGGGTATAACTCCAATCTCTTCTCTTCTCTTTTAGTGTTTCTTCCAGGTCTCCTTCCTCCTGGGCTTGCACACAAAAGCTTACACCTTAAATAAAACTTTGGGAGGTCTTTCAGGTGCCATTGGACTCAGACTTTATTCTAGGGATAGGTAGAACACTCCTGTGCCGAATTTGGTCCAAAACTGGCCATAGCAAATTGAGCTGTTTTCAAGTGCTTTTTATACTCTGCAAATTCTTCACCTGAACACTTGTGTTCTCAGTGACATTATGAGAGTGTTATGGGATTCAGTTGTCTTCCTCAACCACTCTGTAGGCCTCTCATCCCCATTCTGGAACTACCCGTTTACTGCTGCTTCTTTTCTACTTCCTGACCTGGCAGTGACAAAAGCAGCAGCAGCAGCAAATCCTTCCTGGACCCCTCTCTACTCTGTCATCCCTGGCATCAGGACACTGGGTTATGTAGCTTCCAGGTGACAATTTCTTTTAATTAATCGCTCTGGCTTTCAATATTCTGCTGTGGGTAGCATCACAGCACGGTTTCCCTTGGCTATGCTGATGTCATTAAGTCTGCTTGAGAGTCTGCCCAGTTTTAACTAAATGTATTTTTAATTGTCTGCTGCTCAGAATTAATTGGTAGCGTGTCATCTGTAGAAGACACAAAAATCTGTTGAGTTGGCACCTGATGGAATGCAGAAGGAGGCTCTGCAGAAATGCTGCAAGGATACGCACAGCTTAATTTTCCAGAATAACTATTTTAATTGGCATGTTTGGTTGTCTAGGTGTGTGTGTGTGGGGGGGGGTTATGCACTTGATATAAGAACTGCCATGATAGCTCAGAATAAAGATCTCGCACTGCCTCCTGCAGTCTTTCACATTTTTTGCCTCCCATTGGGTTTTGCACCACGTACAATTCATCTTATATTGGGCCCCTAAATGTCTTCATTTCAGTGAATTTCCACTGCTTTGGCTGCAAAAGCTGTCAATCATTGCAATAATGTGGTTGTCTGTGCCCAAATGCTGATAAGGTTGGTGTTTCGAGTATGGCTGTAAGTAGAGCAGCACTCATTAAGGCAGGCAGAGTTGCATCCTTCTAAGCCCATTGACTTTAACAGAATCAGAAAGGTGTAGCTTTGAGCCTCGGGAGACCCAAGCTGTGCCTTTCCTCATGCAGGACATGCATAGCTTCATTCACCCATAAGAAATAACCCTAATGGGGTATGGGGATCCCAGGCAGGGACCTTCCAGGCAGGGACCTAAGTTCAAATTTCAAGGTTGCCAAAAAATTCTTTGACCTAGCACCCAATAGCAAATTACAAGGTTTAGATTAGTCATATTAGTCGATGCTGTATGTCATGTAAATTACTAAGATCTGTTTTTCTTTTTTCACAATTAGCAATCTCTATATATTATAACGCTAATTTGGGGTGACCACGCTCGATGTACTCCCTCAGTCATAGGCTGAGGTGGCCACCACTCACACCGGGGACGCTGGCCACTGGCTGCAGTCTCTGCCCCCGCCCACAGAGGCAGTGCCGGAGTGAACGTGCCCTGCGATTCGAAGAGATAGCTGCTTTGGCGTGGCCACGCTCGATGCGCTCCCTCAGCCGTAGCCAGCCGCCACTCACACCGGGGACACTGGCCGCAGTCTCTGACGCGTGGCCACAGATGCGGCGCTGGGGCAAACGTGCCCTGCAAATCGAAGACACCGTGGCAGAGTCTCGCCCTGCCACCCAAACAGCCGCCGTGTCCGTCCTCTCCCGAGTGCCCATAGCCAGCCAGGCTGTGCGTGGCCCAACAACAGATGGGCCACAGCCTGAACCTGCTGCCACCCTTGCCTGAACGTGCATCGCCGCCACCCGGCCTCCATGTGATTTGACGACAGGCGGCCCAGCCGCTCCAGCCGGTGGGAGGGCCTCGCCCCGATCCTGCCACTGCCTTCACTCGAGCCCGGCTGCCCTGCGCCCGGATGAAGGCCGCGCCGCCCACTCCAGTGCACGGGGGCTGCCTCTGGCTGCACCCAGTTCTGCTGCTGCCACCGCCGACTACATGCAGCTGGCTGGCCTCTCACTGGGCAGGGGCCGGTGCACCGGCAGCCCCGAGGCTTCTGGAGGTCACCCAGCCACTTCCTCACCCCTCGACTCTGGGGGGTCGCGTGGGGGGAGAGATTGGGAGACTGGGGGCGCCTCCGTCACCCGTGCTAGGGCTCGTTGTCTTCCTCCACAATGGGCTTTGCTCCTATTAAATATATTACGACATATGCTTCTTAATTGGTTTGGAGAAATTGCTGAAACTGCTGATCGTGACTCGATTAACTGTACCTTGTTCACCTGTTTTGACATTGAAAGCTTGGAGCATTTTGCTTATGGCCAAATTACACATTACATGCTTTAAAAAAATCACTGTCTTGAATGGAGCACCTGTGGGGAGGGGCTGCTTAACTGTCTCCCCCCCCCCCCCCCCCCCGGATTGCTAAATCAACATAGTGTAATTTCTCAAGGCTGGAAACATTGCCCACTCATGCATGGGAGATAGAAATTTTTACAAAATCAAACCATTTCAAAAGGAAAATGCTGGAAGTGAGCTGAACAGTGCCCAATGGTAAAACCAGCTACAGGCGGGATAAGGGTCTAATAAATAAATAACTCTCTCTCTCTTTTTTGGCACTGTACTATTGCGTCTTAGTCAAGCAGTGTTGGTAGACCGGACCATGTATATAGCAGGACAGATTGGCATGGATCCTTCAAGTGGGCAACTTGTACCTGGAGGAGTAAAGGAACAAACTAAACAGGTAAAATGTGACTTCATTGATTCTAATGGTCAATCTGATGCCATGATCCATGCTGCATGCTCTAAAGGCATGCCCACAAGGCTCGGTTTTAGCAGATCAGGCAGACTAGCACATCGAGCTCCTGCTGGAACACGAATAGCTGCAACAACTTTCCCCCCACTAAATCACATAGCTACCAGGGAACATTGTGGACATGAGTGCATTCTCCAGAGCTATTCTAAGGGAAGAGACCTCTTTTCGGACAAGTTCTGCGTCCTCAGTTGTGTGCTACAGAACTGACCAAAAGCACAGCAAGCTTGCCATATGGATGTGCCCTAAGGGGTCAAAGCAGCCAGAAGGGCCGCTGAACAGCTTCCCTTCATTGTCACTTGCATGCTTGGGAGCCCAGAGGGAGGGGATTTGAAATTAAAGGAACCTGATTGGTTATGACTAGCGTGTCCGGTAGATTTCAATGAACCTTTAAAAAAACTTTCTGTAACGGGCAGCGGGGTATCATAATATTTGCTCTATTATTCATTTTATTGTGAGTTTTTATAGATCCTTACAAGGGTTTTTTTTTTGTCAACATATTATGGTTTGCTGGTAAGGAGAAATACAAATAACAATATCCTTTGTGTTTTTTACCGTTAGGCACTTAAAAATATGGGGGAAATTCTGAAAGTGGCATACTGTGACTATGGCAACGGTGAGTTAATTTACACCACCAAAGTGAGTTACTTTTGGGAGAACTTATTTTTCATATTTGGAGAGGAAGAAAACATATTGTTTTTACCTTGGTTGCCTGCAGTTTGTATGTGATCCCAAGTCTTCCACGGCCCATGTTCTTTTTTGTCACACACAAGTGGGCAGCATCTTTAATTTGCAGTTCTTCTTTTTGAGCAAACCATCTTCCCTGTCCTGTGGGACTCCTGTTTTGTGGGTGTTAGATTTCTGAAGATCTGCAGTTCTTCATCCTCTTCTTTTTGGATAGATACTTTGACTCGCCATATAGGTTTCTAACAGTGCAGGCCTAAACATAATCACACCATTCTAAGTAGATTGGGTTTTGAAAGGTGTAACTGCTTAGGATAGCCTTGTAAATGTATGCATTCTGGCACTGAGCTTAACTATCAGTAGCTATTGTTTAGTACTAATTTGTTCTTCGAATGGCACAAGAGAACATATTATTCTTGCTCCAGGGAAACCATAGTCAAAACAGACATCTTTCTAGACAGTGAAGAAAACCATAAGGATATCTGTCCTTCTCAGGACTTGTGCTGATTTTTCCCTCTCAGGCTCAGCTGTTTCATCTGTATGTAAAATGTAAGTGGTGAACTGGATTTGTAAACGGGGAGTTCAAAAATAAGGGTTCCTAAAATGGAGGTTGGGTTCTAGGATACCTGTGAAATGAGCTGCTGAAATGTCATCAGTTGATGGTGCCTGGAAAAGGAATACTGGCAAGTAGTAGTCTAGGAGCATTTGAAGCCTGTGGCATAGAGTCTGTACAGTAGGGGCAGCACCAAGATACTGGTGCTGGTGATGTCAATCAATAGGGGGAGGAAAAACCCCTCTGGGTTTCTTGGGCTGTTTGTGCACTGCTTAAATCAGCGGCTCTCAAACATTAGGTTCCTCAGTTTGTTGCAATACATTTTGGGCTAATAAGACAAGAGATGAGGTTTTGTGTACAGTTCGGGTAAACACCATATACACAGAAGAATCACACAGTTGTGGTGAAAAAAACAAGACTGACATAGCAGCAAGTCAGCAGCCCATGTTTCTTCAAAACTTGTGGCCAGAGAGCCAGTGTAGTGGTTAAAAGCTGTGGAGTCTGAACTGGAGAACTGGGCTCGACTCCCCACTCTTCTTCCACATGAAGCCTGCTGGGTGACCTTGGGCCAGTCACAGTGCTCTCAGAATTCTCGCAGCCCCACCTACTCACCTACCTTGTTGCGGGGAGGAAGGGAAGGCAATCACAAGCCGCTTTGAGACTCCTTAGGGCAGAGAAAAGCAGGGTATAACAACCAGCTCTTCTTCTTCTTCTTTTACACTGATAAATATAAATCCTTGTGCATCTTGGTATGCCTGACACTGCTGAAAGGTTGTCATGATGCTCTGTCACTTGGAACACCTTCTCTAACAGTGTTTTCTGACGTAGTGGTGAAGACAACTGTTCTGATGGCTGACATGAAGGACTTTGATGATATGAATGAAGTATACAAGCAGTGTAAGTACTACTTGTACTGTTTAATGCCTAAAGACTGCCAACTTTGGGTAAAGCCCTGTATAAAATATTGTGAGATGAAACAAAAGGTGGAGGTTAGCCCTTCTCATGCTGCTTGCTTGAGCATACCCAAGGACATAAGACCTGAGTTGCTGTCAGCTCCTGTGGTGGTGGAGGGAAACACACACAATATGAGTGCTTCTCCTTTTTCCCTGGCGGCTTTGTGGAGGAGGGGATAGATTTCCTGCAGAGTGGGAGAGGAAGGAAGGTTTAAGTCCTTCCTTTCTCTGTTACAGATCCCTTTCCAAGCATATGGCTGTTCATGACATACAAAAATATATGTCATGAATAGCCATGTAGTATCTAAGCCATCTGTAACAGTGGATCGTGTGGTTACTGTTACTTATTCTTCTTGGGTTCTGAAATTCTAGGGTTGTTGTTGTTCAGTCGCACAGTCGAGTCCGACTCTTCGCGACCCCATGGACCAGATCACGCCAGGCCTTCCGGTCTTCCGCCGTCCTCTGAAGTTTGCTCAACTTCATGTTCGTTGCATCTATGACACTGTCCTAGGGTACAGACTATGATAGGTCTCTTTAAAGGATTTTTTTTTTCATCTAATCACAATGGATGGAAAGGTAGCTCTTAAATAAAACCTGCAATCCTCAGTTTTAAATCCAGCATTTTTTGCCATCATGATGCATTCTGTCTACATTCTGTATTTTTTTTAAGAAAAGGTCACCATTCATGAGCTCCTTTCCTGCTGCTATCTGTGCCCATCTGTGCTGCTGGATCCTAAATTGCTGAACGGTGCAAGGGGCATGAATGATCCAAATTAAATTAGTAATTTATGTTTAATGATTTTGTTCCAACTAGCCATGGAACGAGTACTGTACGGTATTAAACATTTAACTATACAAAGAAAGGCGTAGGGGTTTTTTTGGGGGGGACTTTTCACTTTAGAAAAAGAAGACAACGAAGGGTAACATAACAGAAGTTTATAAAACTATAGATGGTCTGGAGAAAGCATATTGGAGTCTCCCCCCGATCTCTTTAATAATTCTAGAACTTAAGCTAGTAAACGTAAGTGGATTCAGTACATACAAAAGAGCTTCACACAGATTTGTGGAATTCACTAACACAAAACGCAGTGATGCCCTGACTTGGATGAGCCAGGCTAGCCTGATCTGGTCAGATCTCAGAAGCTAAGCAGGGTTGGACCTGGCTGGTATTTGGATGGGAGACGATCAAGGAAGTCCAGCGTCGCTACGCAGAGGCAGGCAATGGCAGACCACCTCTTTTAGTCTCTTGCCTTGAAAACCCCTGTCGTGAGCAGCGGCTAGAAAGGTTCTCTAAGGGCTGCCACCACTCTGGTAGGGGTCTCCTCGGGAGGCCCCAGAGCACCCACCCTACCCCCTTTATACACTCTTTTCCAACAGGTTTCCCCTTATAAGTGACTGGATGAGGTGTGAGGACCCAGGACAGAGTAACAAACTGTTTTTATTAAAGAGATTTAACAACTATAATCCAATAATGTGTAGGTAAAATGAACACAGTAAAGGTAGGTAAACTCACAAAATAAGAAGTCCTAACGCATAGGGGTGGCCAAACTGCAGCTCGGGGGCCACATGTGGCTCTTTCACGCAGTCTAATTTAATGTAAATAAAGGTAAATTTGTATATCTTTCAATAAAATGTGTGTGATATTTGTTCATGTCTTGCGGCTCTCAAACATCTGACGTTTGTTCTGTGGATGTTACGTTAAGCAAGTTTGGCCACCCCTGGACTATACTCTCCTAGCCTGGGCCTAGACGATTTCATGCTATATATTTTGAGAGGGGAGAAAACCCCACCTTGTCAAGAAGCATTTCATCATTCCAGTGTGGTGTAATGGTTAATGTCAGAGTAGGATCTGGGAGACCCACATTCATATCCCCACTATTCCATGGAAGCCTACTGGGTGACCTTGGATCGATCACACCCTCTCTGATTAATCTACCTCACAAGAGTGTTGTGAGGATAAAGTTGAGAACAAATGGGGCATAAGTGAAATAAACACACCCTGCTCGGGTGCCTGGTAGGCATTCATTTCTCCCCCCGTACTGTGTGGCCCTAGTTAGAACGGTAAATACTTCTCTGTAAACCGCTCCATGCCTTCGGGAAGGAGTGGTATATAAGCTGAATTTAAAAAACAAAAAAAACATTTTCTATCGGAAAAATCGCAAATTCCTCAGGACAATGCATCTTTTCCTGAATTATTCTGAGTCCTTAGACCTGTAGCTTGAAGTAGCAGCAGAAGAAGGCTGTTGTCTTTATGTTTGGCTTGTGGGTTTTCTGGAGATAACTGGTCGGCCATGGAAGGATACGAGATGCTGGATTAGATGGATCCTTGGTCTGAACCAACAGGGTTGCTCTTATGCCTCAGACTACTGAAAATCTCTGTAGCTTGTGAAATTTCCCTTGACAAGGCCACACACTTTTATGCCTGATTTCTTAAGGCCTTAAGGCCTAGAAATGGGCTCCTGTAGGAACTGAAGTTCCTGTTTTCAGAATTGTTTTGTTAGATAATGTAACTGCAGAACGCATCTAGACTTATACTTTGTTTAATGGGTCTTTTCTAACTGCTTTTACCACAGCCTGACAAGTTGCTTTGCGAAGAAGTCCCTTCCCCCCACCATATATTTAGAGTGATATAATATAACCTAAATATCCATTCAGTTATGTTTTCTACATATAGTTTTCGAGGGTGACTTCCCAGCCAGAGCAGCTTACCAAGTCGCAGCTCTACCAAAAGTAAGTGTTACATTTTAATAACACTGGATCGACTAATTTCTTGGGTGGAATAGCTTTCCCACATAGACGCAGAAAATTCACAGGGCAATCCTATGCAGATCTACACCAACCTAAGACCACTCATTTGAGTTGGCTTAAGCAGGAGTAACTCTGTAGGATTTCACTGTAAAAGATCTTGCAACATTGACTAAGTCTGTTGGCTTCTACAGAGTATCCAATTATATTTAAATGTGAGCTTCTAACTTATATGTATACAACTGCACCCACTCCTTTGGGTTCGTGATTAGTGGCAAAAGAGAAGCAGGCCTGCACTACAGAACTCCACTAGATCTGATGAGGTGAGTGGTAGATTTAGTGTCAGGATCCCTGCTGTAATGTTGTGTTACTGTGATGGGAACAGAGCCCTGAGAATACCCACCGGTAACATTACACTCTGTATGGCCCAACAGCCTGATCCAGTGACCTGTTGCAGCCATGACACAAATTCTAATCTTTCATTTAAATGGAGGAAGATTTTCTACCTGCCACTGCCTTTAAACAGGCATAGAAATGGGAACTCCCATTTCTTCTTCACGGTGCACGTGATACTCCTTTTCTCTTCTGCTGTTCTTCTGAATGCACGGAGTGTCTTTTATGGATGTACCTCAAATGCAGCTCTTCTCCCCTCCCCACCCCACAGACCAATTAGAGCTTACCATTTGATTCTACTGACTGTATTGCCTGAGAGATGTCATGGTGCAGTGGTTAAGAATTCAACCGTGACCAGAGGAAAAATGAGTTCAGGTTCATTCTGCTATTGGGGAAGACATGGAGCATTGCCTGCATCACAGAACTGCTGTGAAAACAAAATAAAACGTGGAAAGCACTTTCTAATGTACGTATCCGGCATCTTCCTTGCAGGGGGCACGTGTTGAGATTGAAGCTGTGGCCATCAGTGGACCACTCTGCGATGCCAAGCATGACACTAGAGGCAACCTTTAAACCCAGTGGCTTGGTTTTGATTAAACTTGTTTAATGGAACTGGTCGTCTCTTCCACTCGGATCCTACATGAGCTGTTCTGAATAGAGGGAATGAATTCCATCCCATTCCCTGCCGCTCTTATGTCCTATTAAGGCTCTAGCTTGATGCACAATTTGGTAGGAATGACATTTATTGTAGAACTTTAATGTCACAAGCTGTTGAAGAATGTTTTATTGCTTCAAATAGTATTTTGATGGATAGACACTAGTGATTTATCCAGATACTGTGAATAGGATTTTGATGTAATTAATATAGAAACTTAAGAGGCAAGTTGGAATTACCTTTAGAAGGAAAAATAAGGAATGTTATACTACAATTACAGAAGCACAGAGCTAAGTATTGGTAGACTTAATGTTACCAATTAACCTAATAAGCTTACCTCTATCTACTAGACAAAGTAGTGTTCAGACATGCAAAAATTTTTAACTCATGTTTTCAGATCTCTAACATGCTACAATTAGTCCGGATTTATGTATTTTTGATGAGATTTTAATAAACCAGCATTATATAAAACTACTCACTGGAAAAGACCCTGATGCTGGGAAAGATTGAAGGTCAAAGAAGACGGGGACGGCAAAGGATGAGATGGTTAGACAGTGTCATCGATGCAACGAACATGAAATTGAGCCAACTTCGGAGGACGGCGGAAGACAGGAGAGCCTGGCGGGAGATTGTCCATGGGGTCGCGAAGAGTCGGACTCGACTGTGCGACTGAACAACAAAATTATATAAAACTAGGAATAAGGCCCGTTGTGGAAATAAATACAATGAGCTCTAGAAAGAGGCTCTGGGAGAGTGCCCCAGTTTTGGGCACACAGTGTCAATTTGCTGTGGTGACCTCAGCAAGGTATAATGACACAGAGGCCACCGTTTTCTCCAGAGGAACTGATCTCTGCTACCTGAAGAGCAGTTGTAATTTTGAGTGATCTCCAGCCCTCACCTGGAGATTGGTAACAATTGTTACCCAGGACAAAATGGCTGGTTTGAAGGGTGGGGTCTATGGCATTCTACCTGTCTGAGATCCAACCCCTCCTCAAACCTCACCCTGTCCAGGCTCCATCCCTCAAATCCCCAGGACTTTGCCAACCTGGAGTTGGCAACCCCATCTCCTTCCCAGCTAACCAACCTACTGTTATCTGCCCCTCTGACTTCAGCTTTCTGCCCTCCCTCCTGCAGAGCAGTTGTAACTCTGAGTGGTCTCCAGCGCTGACCTGGAGATTGGCAACAATGGTTCCCCATGAGGGAATGGCTGGTTTGGAGGGTGGGGTCTATGGCATTGTACCTGTCTGAGGTCCCACCCCTCCTCAAACCTCACCCTCTTCAAGTTCCATCCCTCAAATCTCCAGGAATTTCCCTACCTGGAGTTGGCAACCCTATCTCCCTCCCAGCCAACCACCAACCTACTATTATCTGCCCCCTAATTTCCATCTCCTCCCCCCTCCCTTCTGGAGAGCAGTTGTAATTCTGATTGATCTCCAGCCTCCACCTGGAGAATGGCAACAATGGTTCCCCAATAGGAAGGACTCAGCAGGTATAATGTCATAGGGTCTACCCTCCAAAGCATCCATTTTCTCCAGGGGAACTGATCTCTGTCATCTGGAGATCAATTGTAACAGTGGGAGATCTCCAGGTCCCACCTGGAGATTGGCAACCCTAGGGGAAAGTCAGCTGCACAGCAGGGGGTTGAAGAGAATGGTTTGATGGCCGCTGTCCCACCTCATTAGCCAGCTAGCCAGCCAGCCAGCCATAGTGGTTCCAAGCAGGAGAGTGTTTTCTGACAGGAAAGTGGCCAAACTGGCGGGGGAGGGGGTTACACTGAACCAAGCTTGGTTGCCTACCAACAGCCACTGAGGGAAGCAGCAGAAGTCTATTCGTCAAGGGAGAGAGAGCCATCTGCCAGTTATTCTGAGAGGCAAGGTGGCTGCAGTGGGAGTGGGCGGGGAACAGGAGCAGACCCAGCACCCGGCCAATGGCACATGAGTACTCTTGAGTGGCGGCTGACAAGCCAATGGCTGAGGGAGTGCATTGCACAGCCAATGGGAGAGCTGCAAAGGGCCACCCCAAAACACAATTATTATTTATGATGATGATGATGTTGTTTGAGTCTTGATTAGGGATGGGCACAGACTGGACCATGGACTGAGACCCAGTTCATGGTCCATTTGCCCAGTCCTTGTTTTAGCATTTTCAGTGGACTGCCCAAAGCCAGTGGTCTATTTGGTCCATTTGAGCAGTCTGTGGGCCAGACAACCCAGCTCCAAGGAATTAATTCTTTAAGCAACTAGGGGGGATCTTCTGCAGCCCTGGAAATGCCAATGCTGGTTCTCCATAGCTTGACAGGCAGCTCTGGCTGCCAATAAGAGAGCGCCCATTCTTGTTTATGAGAGCAGGCTGCATATATACCCTCAGTGTGACGCAGCTAGTTTCACTTTTCAGCACACAGTGGTAGGATTAGGATTGAGAGAGAAGATTATTATCAGAGGCAGAGGAAAGTAGTGACTGTGGGCTCAGAGTTCTGAGCCACCACCTGTCGTCCTGCCCACATCAGGGCAGCATGGGAAAGCAACAGGGGACTCCTCAGAGAGTGTTCCCATTCCAATTGGGTGGGGGTTTTGGACACTGTCCCCGGCTGGGGTGGTGGTGTATGTGAAGTGAGGGCTCTGAGCCACCACCTGTCGTCCTGCCCACAGCAGGGCAAAGCAACTAGGGCTCCTCGGGGAGTGTCCCCACTCCAATCGGGTGGGAGGTTTTGACACCTGTCCCCATCTGGGGTGGTGTTGGGCATGGGGCCACCACCTGTCCTCCTGCCCACATCAGAAGAAGAAGCGAAGAGATTGGATTTATAACCTGCCCTTCACTCAGAGTGGCTTACAATCTTCTGCCCTTCTTCTCCCCACAACAGACACCCTGTGAGGTAGGTGGAGCGGAGAGAACTCTGACTGAGAACTGCTCTCGAGAGAACAGCTCTGAGAGAACTATGGCTTACCCAAGGTCACCCAGCAGCTGCATGTGGAGGACTGGGGAATCAAACCTGGTTCTTCCAGATTAGAGTCCACACTCCTAACCACGACACCAAACTGGCTCTATCCCTAGGGCAGCAGGGCAAAGCTACTGGGGCTGATGTCCCATATAATCCTTCCCAATTGTGAACAAAGACAGCACGTAGTACCAAAGACCGCACATAGCACACCTTTCTGCGTGTTGAAGGTGGGGGCCAAGGGAAACATCCAGCTCCTCCACATCTCAAGCTGCTCCTGCCTCTAGTCAACCCCCTCTCAGTATTCCCACTTGCTCCACTGTGGGGTGCCCGTTTCAAGGGGGAACTCTGGCAGCATTTCCAAACCCTCCAGAGCGACCCCTGTGCAGCAGAGTGCTGGTTCTGCCACGCCCAGGTGCAGAGGGGCTTGCATCCACACCACTCATCGTCCTCCATAGGCACCTGCAGAGGCACCACCCAAATCTGTTGCCTCTATGGCAAGGAGTGGTGAAGGTGGCACCCAGCAGGGCGAGGGGGGAGGAGTCCACTGCAAGGCAGAGGACTCACACCAAGAGTGCTATGGGTGGGAGTGGACCCTGAAGGCAGTCCATCCTTCTACAGGTCATTCCCACTGAGGCGGTGGCTATCCCAAGCAAGAGGGCTGGGGGAAGGCCCAGGAGGCAATCACTCAAGTCATCAGTGAGATGATTGTCCTGGTGGGGGACCCTTTGTCTGGGTTGAAGCGGGTGGACTTTTGCCGGCTGCTGCACTGTTTTGCCCCCTAGTATACCATCCCCTTGCGGAAGACTTTCAACCGGTGAGTTGTGCCCTCCATGTACCACCCTGTGGTGCAGATGGTCAAGGCGGAGTTGTCTAGAGCGTGAGGGCAGACTGCACTTCACAGCAGACCTGTGGAGCAACCATCAGCATGGCTACCTCTCCCTCACAGCCCACTGGAGACAACCAGAGGACCTCCGGGTTGCCAGGGGAAGACCAGTGTTCCGGGAGGAGGTGACAGTCCTGCTGCCGGGCTACAAAGTGGTTCTGATCCATGTCCAGGGGATGGATGAAGATCATATGGCAAAGAACATTGCCAATAAAGTCCAATCTAGTCTAAGGGAGTTGCTGGGCCCCAAACATGCTGGCGGCAGTGAACCACGCTGCATCAAGGCTGCATGAGTGGGGGGAGCCCAAACACTGGCTAGTGCAGGGTGTGCCCACCTGTTGGAACTCCACCTACATGAAGATTGAGCACCTAGTGGAGCAGAAGAGTGTGGTGCAGGACATCATCTTGTCCATGCCTATCCTGCATGGGGGAAAGATCAACATGAGTTCAAATGACTGGCTGACCCTTTTCAAAATGGTGTGTTTTCGGACGCCTTTCCAGGACACCACTGACATCCTCCGCTCCCATAAGGCCATCCTGGGTCAAGCCATCCCACTGATCCATGGGCTGGACTGGGTTCTGGCTTCCACACTGGAGCAGGGGGGCAGCTCTTGTCCAGAGGGCCAGGGCCTTGGCGGAGAGGTTGCAGACAGGCGTGGCCACCCAGTTGCGTCCTCTCTGCAAAGAGGAGTTGTACAGGGTGGCCTGCATCTTTGACCCCCAGCAATGGAAAAACTACCTCCGCAGATGGGTACAGAAGTTGTAGGCCAGCCGAAGTGGCCAGAGTGGAAGGGATGGAAGCATTTGGAGGAGGAAGAGGGAGAGGAGCACAGCACCTCAGCCCAATTGGGAAGGAGGAGGAGGAGACTGGATTTATACCCCGCCCTTCGCTACCTGAAGGAATCTCAGAGTAGCTTACAATCTCCTTCCCCTCCCCACAACAGACACCCTGTGTGGTAGGTGGGGCTGAGAGAGCTGCTTGTGAGAGAACAGCTCTGAAACAAACTTGTGACTGACCCAAGGCCACACCAGCAGGTGTATGTGGAAGAGTCAGGAATCAAACCCAGTTCTCCCAGATTAGAGTCCACAATCCTAACCACTACACCAAACTGGCTCTGAGCCACCACTACTAACACTACACCTACTGGTCCTCAGGGGTGAGATGGGAGGCCAGGCATGCCCTGGGCAAGGACTCAGCAGAGGTTTTGGTGAGGGAGTACCTTGCTGAGCCCCCCATGTCCAATCCTCTGGAGTACTGGGCTCACAAGGCCAGCCTGGCCATGAACTACCTGTCCCCCTACCAGTGTCCAGAGCGAGCGGGTGTTCTCCCACCTGGGAGACCTCCTCAGCCCCCACTGCTCCTGCCTGGACCTGGCTCTGGTCAATGAGCTGGCCTTCCTCAAGGTCAACCTCCCTCTCCTGGGCTACCCATCTCTCAACCATCCCCATAAGCACATCTACCTCATAGCACAACACCTACCTTGTGGACTGACATCTACCTCTCAGCGCAACTACCACCTCGTGGAACAATGCCCCCCATCCAAGCCTCTACCCATACAAGTAAGCTCATTTGACCACACCCAAGGTTATCATGTCCATCTACAGGAACAATGTCCCCAGTGAGCAGGTGGGTGGGTGGGTGAGTGAGAAGGGTCAGCTGTGATTTGTTTCCCCAGAGAGCACTTTCCTGGGGGCAACTGCTTTGGGGGCTGTTACTTGGCCCCCCAACAGCCAATCCTCACCAAACTTGGAGGTCAGCTAGAGGGGCATCCCAGGGAGGTCCATTTGACACACCCCTTACAAGAGGTCCATGTGACACACCCCTGAACCTCTGTGGCTGTGATTTCCCCACAGAGCACTTTCCTGGGGGCACCTGCTTTGAGCAGCTGTAACTCGGCCCTCTTAAATCCAATCTTTGCCACACTTGGAGGGCCAGTAGAGGAGAGTCAGCTGAAGACTTACAACAAGTTTGGCATCTCTAGCCCCTGGGGGGGGGGGCATTCTAGCACATCCTGAAATCATGAACCCTGAACCAGTTTGTTAAATGGAAAAGTTTATGAAAATTTGTGGTCTGTGGAACCCACGAACCTAATCAACCCTAAAAGGTTTTTGGTCCGTGCCCTTCCCTAGTCTTAATGTTTGAAGAGAGCTATGTCTGCTTTCCAATATCAACATTTCAAGAATATAATAATCCACATTGGTGGTTTTCAGGTTGTACTGCATTTTCTTTTTGTCTTTTGTAGCTATGCTTCATTGAGATAATGAAGTAATTTCAGGTTACTTATAAACTTGCCATTTGGTGTCAGAACCCACAGCCAACAGCGCAGTACACGCATTCAGGAATGGTTATACTTTTATTGCAGAGCTATAGATGCAGTAACATAGGCACTGTTAAGAATGGCGGCGGCCCCATGGGCATAATAGGATATAGGGTATTCGTATGCACCCCCTCCCCACAGCACTGGCCAATTAGGCATTCTCCCACGCGCGGTATAAGCTTAGAGGCCATTAGGTAGCTGTAGCTGAGAACCAACACTCTCCCACGGCATCTAGGGAAAACCTAGACAATACAACGTCCTCCTGCACATCTGTATAGATAAGCATAGAAAGGAATGCAATAGCACTTAACCAGACACAGACCAACCTCCCCAACCTTCATGGCAGCATAGCTTTTTTTTTTTTTTTGGAATTTGGAAGACTGTTTAAGTAACATATCTGATGAGTTATAAAGAGTTCTTTTAAACCAACCAATTTCTTTTAAGTTCTTTTCAACCAACCCAGAAACAATGGTGAAAACTGCCCTTCAGTGCAAGGAGTATTCCTTTAATTCAAGAGGCTCTTGTGCCAGAGGAAGTGTAGCAACATACATGTTACATTAAGTGTTTTGTTCCTTTATGATGCAGTGCAATCAGACTATAATGCAAGTCAATATAGTTACATATTCGGCCTCCAATTTTTACCATTTAATGTTAACCTGGAAGTAGTTTAGATGTGTCCTGGCTCAGTGTTAGACCACATACTTTACCTGCAGAAGGCTGTGCGTTCAATTCCTCTTTCAGGAACAAGGGCTAGAAAAGTCATTTCTCTGCACAAAACCCTTAGAGTTGCTGGCAATCAAGTAGATAATACTGAAACAGATGACCTAATAACTCAGTACATAGGTGAGCAAATATAACATATGCATATTGTTAATTATGTATTTTACATTAACCTTGCAGTTCTAAATATAGGAGGAGGTTGGGTAAAGACCTGATTATTTCCAAGATAACGTTTTCCAAGCAGTACACTTACCAACTTGTCTCTAAATGTGTCTGTGACATACTCTATGCATAAACTGAAAGTCAATCCTTATTTAGAAACTTCTTGTTTGTGTTAAGTGCCATCAAATTGCTTCTGACTTTTAGTGATCCTATGAATTAATGACCTCCAAAGCATCCTATCTGTTAATGACTTGGGTTTTGCAAACTGAGGCCATAGTTTCCTTGATTGAGTCTATCTGTCTAGAAACTTTAAAAACTAGAAACATTTTCTTAAAAATTAGGATTTTTCTAAGAGGCCCTCAAAAAGAAGAGTTGGATTTATACCCCACCCTTCACTCAGAGTCTCAGAGAGGCTTACAGTCTGAGTGACTGAGTGAGAGAACAGCTCTGAGAGAACTGTGGCTTGCCCAAGGTCACCCAGCTGGCTGCTTATGGAGGAGTGGGGAATCAAACCTGGTTCTTCAGATTAGAGTCTGCCGCTCTTAACCACTACACCAAACTAGCATTTTTTTTACCACAAAGGGATTTTTTTTAGACTTGCCACATAATAATTGGTTACCTTATCACTACAACTTAATAGACAACATCAAAATTACACATACAGCTTAAAGGCAATGGATATTTTCTTCAAGAGATTCACCAGCACAGCCGCCTCCTGTATGGACAAACTATGTTCATTTCCAGTTCTGTATATTGGTTGGTTACTTCTTATACCAATTGAAAGTTATTTTCATGATGACTTTGTTTTAGACCTCTGAATATTTAAAACAAAGTAGTATTTGGTATGTATAGTCACCATGCTTTCAGACATGGAAACAAGCAATCCAACAAACAGCACAGCATGCACTGTTGTGTAAAAATCACAGATCTTTTCAACTGGCTGGTTCTCAAATTATCACAAAAGATTCCAAAAGCAATAACCCAGCCAATAGCGTGTTTAGATAGTTTCAGTGACAACATAACCACACAAGTTCCATCCACTGCAGCACTTTATTTCAGCATTTAAGATCAGGGTGTCGACTTGCAAAATGAAGACTGCTGTAGACTACTTCAAAAAGCACAAAAACAAACCATAAAACATATGATTGTTGATCAATGCATATCTAACATGTCCTACATAGTAATCACTGCCCTGGATTAAAAGGTTTCTGCTCCGGTTTACAGGCTTCTTCAAGCCATGCAACCAGTAAAGCCACATGGTAAACAGCCCCGTTTTTTAAAAGAATGTGAAACTGACTGCTATCATTTACAGTATGTACCTTAAGACTTAAATATAAGGAAACTAACTGAAGGATCTTGTTTTCATATTGTCACATAGATTTCTAATAGATGAACAAATAGAATCCGCAAGTATATATGGAGGGAAAACCTAGTCTACAAAGTGTCCCAGAAAGGCACACTTACTGCACATGAAGAGCAGCTTAATTTTATTTGGTTGCAATTTTTACCTCTGTAGAAACTAAATGCTGTAGGTTGTAAAATGCAGTATTCAGCCTTAATGCAATTAGAATATTAAATTATATGCGTGCTTTTATTAAATATATTACTTTTTAAAAAAAGCATTACCACCACATTATAATAGTGACCAAGCATGTTTAATTGCTGTGCTAAATAAATCATTTCTCTCTTTTTTTAATGTACAGAAGTGTTGAAGATTTTAACAACTGTTGAGGATGGCTATTTCTTCCCATTTTCAAAATTGATGCATCTGCCCAAATTACACTAGAGAAGCAATATTAAGCTCTAGCTACTGTAAACATGTATGAATAATTGAAGCTTCACACAAGAATTGTTCTAGTACAGTAAACAGATTGTGACTGTAAGATCACATCAGAATCCGTAATGCATCCCAGTATAGAACACTGGGGGTTGGGGGAATTCATATGATTTTAAAATGCATGCAACCTCTTCTGTAATTATTCACCTACTTTAGTTAAGCTATTGCATTGCAACATACAGTTCTACTCATATGAAATTTACAGAAGGCACTATACGGCAAACCTGTGAAGGTTTAACATTGCAATTCCTCAGTGGTGTCTTGGCAACTTGACTTCCCAAAATAAAATCCTTTCTCCCCTACTGCTTGAGTTCTCATGGCAAGTCCGTAAAAGCTTTTATAAAATCCAGATTTTTTTCAAATTGGAGTAATAGTTACTTCAGTACCTAAACAAAGATGAAGTCCATGCAGAACCCATGATTCACTCTTCATTATTAGTAGCTTCTGTAATATTAAAAAAATTATATAAGGACTTTTGTGTAACACATTTTAGGAACAGATCTTTGAAATGAAGATGAATTGTAAGAAACTTGCCTGTTCCAGTATTTTTGCATTATGTCCAAACAGTGTCATTGACACAATAAGCTTATCCAAATAAACCAATTAATTGGAAGAACAAGGTCACAACCAGAAAGTGTAATTCTTTCTTAATCAGGCACTTCATTGTATTTCAAAAAAATCAAGTATTGACTGTAATTCCTAACATCATAACAACAGAGAAGGCAATTCTGAAGTACTTTATAAACAAGAAAATACAAACAAACTAGTTTCTGAACAGGACCAAGTCTTGTGAAAGAAGTTTTCCTCTGCAAGCATTCAAAACCCATGTACCCTACAGAGGGAATCAGAAATTCACCCAGCAGGTATGATTCCACTAGCCATGTGCAATTTTGAGTGTCTAAGAGGGCTGTGGTTGATCCAGTAGCTTTCAGGTGAGGTGACCCATGCCTAGAGCTAGTCTAGATAAACTGTCATCCATAGACTGAGACTTTTACATTCATAGTTGTAAGAGTAACCCACTGGGAGAGTGTAAGCTTCAACAAAAACACGGCCCTGGATTAAAAGAACACCCACAAAATAATGATTTGAGCATTATAAACTGAGCATTCCCCCGCTATTTGGGGTTTAATCCCAGATACTAGTTTCCAATAAAGTTAAGATGAGGCCTTCAGTTTCACAGAAAGGAAATATCCCCCATCAAGTGTGAGTGATGGAAATTAAAGAACTGTGCTTTGGCTGTAATTTTAGATCTTGCATGAGTGATGAACCCTTTTGCTCTCCTTTTCATCTGTTCTTTTTGTCCCTCATCAGCCTGTACTTTGCTTTGTCCTCCGTACAGCCAAGAAAATGAACTCCCAAACATCTACCCATATCAGAGTCCTTACTGCCAAAGAGAGATGCCAGCAAAAGCAGCAGAGTAGGGGTGGGGGAAATCCCAAATCCTCTGCAGTAATAAAATCTGTTTGGCAAACAGTAACTATGGGATTAAACATGTTTAATTAAGCTTCTTATTTTCCAAGGCTACATCCTTAAAAACATATTTTGCAGCAGACTTATCTACTATGGGGAACTTAGGAACAAACTAGGTGCAAGAGCAGCAGCAACAGATCAGTGTTTAAGCCTGGATCACTCCAATCATGCAGAAGGGGGAGCACAGACAGCTGGGCTCCCATACAAGGACAAAGGACGCAGCCAGTATCTCTATCACTCACCCCCACACCTTTTTTGCCATGCAAATCTGATCTCCCCCTTCCCCCGTGCAGGTTGGGACAGTCTGCTGCTGTAACACCTAGTTTTGGCCTTAATCCAAAGCAAACCAAGCTGGTGTGGTATAGTGGTTACAAGTGTCAGACTAGTACCTGGGAGACCCAGGTTCGAATCCCCGCTCGTGCCATGGAAGCTCACTGGGTGACCTTGCGCGGGTCACACTCTATCAGCCTAACCTACCTCACAGGGTTGTTGTGATGATAAAATGGAGGCGAGGAGAATGACATAAGCCACTTTGGGTCCCCGTCGGGGAGAATAAATTAAATAAATAATAAAATAGATTCAAAAAATAAATATGCAAATGACAAGGAAGTCATTTGCAGGTTGCTGTTAAAACATCTGTTGTATTTAAACAGGAGTAGCAACTAGGGAGTTGCTAACAAAAAGGTTATAAATGCCAATACAGCTTGCAGAGCTCCTAATATTTCGCCTTTAACTTCTCCGTCAACATACCTATCTCTGTTGCTGCTGTAGCTTCTCCTGTTTCTTCTTCTTTTGTTTCAGAGCCCTCACTTACTATCTCAGAGTGCATCTCAGTTTCCACCTTTTCTCCCATCTCACCTGGAACAGTAACCATAGAGATCGAGTCAGGGAACACTGAACAAGTATTGAGTGCTGCGGCACCTTATGGATGACATTCTGCTATGACTTGTGCTTTCCTTTAACATCAACAAGGGCAAAAACTGCAGGGACAGATTCAGCACCTGCCAGCTGCCAAGCAGGCATTTGCTGTGTTTATTAGTAAATCTATCACTGCCCATAGCTTAAATTTACTGCTATCTTCCTTATTCGGCTTAGTCTCTTAATTTGTGCTTTTAGAAAAAGCACTTAATGTCATAAGTTAATAGAGATCGTATTGCTAAAAACCATTATGTGAACTTCGCCCTTGACACAAAGAGAATTCTCTTTCATTCAAGCATCTGATCAGTTTGGATGACCGTGAGGCCTTCAGTAAACAAATACAACTGTGTTTGCTACTCTATGCATTTTGCAGAGGTCTTGCTACCCACACCATATCAAAATGGAACAGGAGGATATCTTTAAGGGAGATTGCTATCAAGGCAAACACTCAATAGGTTTAAATGAAACTATGTTTCAAGTCAATCTACATCCTTTCCCAAATGTTGGGGACAAACAACAGAGAGTAATTATCACCTTCATACTTTTCAGAGGTACCCTGCTAGTTACAGTTTGATTCAGGATGCAAGCAAGACCACTGATTTAAGAAAGCAAGGCAAATTCTTCTAGACAAAGTACTATTAGTGTGACACCAGGCATTCTGAATCTAATAATGTTGTATTTTAAGTTAATTATACCCAAGAAATAACAGGTTATTTTGACTGAGCTGTCTTGGAACTGACCGGGTTATTTTGATGTTGCCAAAATGAGTTTAAAGAAAGTTCTATAAATAAGCCACATGGTTTATTCTTCTACAAGTTCCCCACTATATAGTTATAATTGTAACTAGTATACACTCTGCTTGGGAAAGTGCATGAAACGGGAGTGTAAGGAAATTGAGCAATGAGCTCAGTCATGGGAGTGTAAGGAAATTGAGCAATGAGCTCAGTCATTCAACAGAACCGTTAACAGATCTGACTTCTCACTAGTGCTCATAACTCCATTATTTACAAATGCTACACACAATCCAAACTCACTGGACAAGATTCTGCCCTCAGATGCTCATGTACACCATCTCCACTGCACTCAGTGGAATTTGCACATAGCTCAGAACCTGACCTTCTGAATCTGTAATAACATTGGTTACCCTCGGTTAGCTGTTCCTCTTCCTCTATCAGCAGTTCCTTCACCATTTCTGTTACAAGATTAAAGTCTTCCTCTGCCATCACCAAAGGCTCAGGTGTGCTCCCCTCTGTTGGTTTGACAAGCTCAGGTTTAGCGTCCTGTGCGATTTCTGGAGGCTGAGCATTGGCAGGTTCTGTGGCAGGATGAGGCTCATCACCTTCTGTTAGTTCCACAGGTTGAGGCTCACTGGCTTCTACAAGGCCTGTAGCCAAAGGCTCGCTTCTGCTGAACTTCTCTTCCGGTGACACTGGCGGAGGTTCTGTACCTTCTGGGTCTACTCTTTGACAGGCAGAAAGAGCACATTTTGTTATTTCTGGAAGCAAAACATCTGCCTTCTCTTGGGTAAGATCCTCACTTAATTTTGTTCCGTCAGATGCAAGATCTACTTCATCCATTCCTCCAAGTTTGGTCTGGTCAGGTATGGTTTCATTTTCATCATTGATGGGTGAATTGTCATCTGATGTAGCCATGTCATTATGCATTTTAAAGAAGGAGAAGAAGGGGGGAGAGTAAAGTTGTTATTGAGAAAGATCAGCAGCGAATTCATAGTACTTGTTATTTATGCTGTGGTGGTATATAGTGTGTTGGGCAAATATCTAGGAGGAACCAGGTCCAAATACCTACAACTGCCAGTACTAGATAGATTTTTAAAATTTATACCCCAGCTTCTACATATCTGCTTACATGACCATTGTTCTACTATGTACATATCTAAATGGGTTAATTACAAATGCTACACAGGGGAGATATCATCACCTGCACCAGCTTCAGGATTACTTTTTGGTAATCCTGATTACTATGATTATTGCCGCGCACATTAACTGGAAGAGGTTCCCATACATATGCACTACTATGCACGTTTCTCACACACAGCAGAAAGCTCCTTCTCTTTGGGCCTTTAGGTACCAGCTGGGACTGATGTTATTTCAGAAAGATTTCTTTTTAAAACATAATGGAATGTTCATTTGTATATGGAGTTTAAATGGGCAAAAAGTCTCCTTTTGCAGACTAATTTGTTTTTGGAAGTCTGCTTATTTCTTTAACTGCTACTGGCTGTTTTTATTTTGTTTCTTTTGATAGTATTTTGGACAGAATTACATGCAAGCTGCTTTGTGAACTCAGTGGGTCTATACATATTTTAAATAAAAGATTTCACATCTCCATTATGGTATATTCCAACCCTCCTGTACTCTCAAACTCAGTTGTGGAAATGTGCTGATGCAAACACCTGGAAGGATCACATGCAAGCCCCCTTGTTCAGTTCTTTTTGGGCTCTTCCCTCTTTTTATACCAGTAGAAAGAAGAAGGCCTAGGTCACCTTCCTGGCACTGCACAGGAAGTAACATCATCATGCTAGCAACTTCCGGGTGACACTCTGGTATTGGGGCAAAAACGCTATAGCAGAAGCTTTACCAGAGAGGTTTTGCTGGCATGATAATGTCACTCCCTATGTGACACCAGCAACGTGGCCTAGGCCTTCTTCTTTCTACAGGTAAGCCCCCCCCCCAATCCTCTACTGTTTGCCAAGAGGGACCTGGCAACCTTATCCTGGAGCCTAGCCATGATTGTTAATTTTTCTTAAATTATATTAAGAAACTGGCAGGTTAGAAAGACCTGATAACACCACATTGATAATTTGAGTGATCTGTAGGAAGGAAAGTGAGAGAGATTTGCCCCATGACTGCTTTGCAATACCCTTCCAGCCTTCTGATCGGTATATATAAGGACTCAGAGATCTCCATTCTAACTTGTGTCTGACAAAGGAAGCTTTGACTCTTGAAAGCTTACACCCCCAAAATCTTGGTTTCTAAGGTGCTACTGGACTTGAATCCAGCCGTTCTAGTGCAGACCATCATGGTTGCCCTCTGAAACTATCCCAACAATTGCTGTTACAGAAGTTCTCATGTAGAGCTACATCAAACATAGGCTGAAGATGCCACAGTTTCTACAGCAGAAGGAATACCTGGGCATCCCAGTCATACACTAATGTACAACATGACTTGGCATTTCCCAGTGAAGGCTGCTACAGTTCAAAGGCCTTCTTCAAAGGTATGCCAACAAGAATCTACCAATAAACAAGGATCAGTTTGTTGAAATAGAACCAATGTACTATTTCGTATCCCTGAACTAAGATTTGCTTTGTTTTTCTGTTCCAGAAGTAATAAAAAGTTAGTTCCTGTGGATTAAACTATAACTGAAACTCAGAACATCTGTGACCAGAACCTGCCCTGGGGAAAAAGGGGAATTGGGTCACAGCTACAACACTGGGGAGAGGCAATTATCTCTGTATGCCTTTACCCCGAATGAGGAATGTTATCCTGCAAAGGTCAAATAGCAACATGAGGGGAGGGGAATTATTTTACAGAGGGGAGAGCTACCTTCACTGACAACATAGTCTTGGTATACTTCATACCAACATCCTCTGTGGCTGCATTTACTATTAAAACAAACCCACAAGAGATCCTGATCACAGATCTTCCATACAGCATCTAGTTGTGCCCTGCAATTTGATCAAGAAACTTAACCCAGGCAAAGCTCAGATCTCCCATTGATTTCTATGGCACAAAGTAAACAAGCTTGTAATTTTGGCAGCTGTGGATGTGTATGCAAAAGCCTACCCCCAGGACCAGAGTCACCAGGAATAAGCTTAACCTACCTAGCCCAGTGTTCCCAAATTTACTCTTTTACTTTTTTCTATTGTAAGTGAATGACTGTCATTCACAGCATGCGGAACTCTAAAAGTCTGTAATTCTACCTGGGATAATGCTTACCCTAACCTGAAACAATATGTACTTATTTAAATGTTTGCATCCTGCCTTTCTCCCTGGTGGGAACCCACCGAGACTTACAATGTCATTCTCCCATCTCCCATTGTATTCTCACAAGACTGGTCCAAGGTCACCCAGCAAACATCCATAAAGGAGTGGTGATTTGAACTTGGTCTCTCCAATACTAATCAGACACTCTAATCATACCACGCTAGATCACTGGCACATTTAGGCCTTCGCTCTATACATTTGTTGTTGTTCAGTCGCACAGTCGAGTCCGACTCTTCGCGACCCCATGGACAATCTCCCGCCAGGCTCTCCTGTCTTCCGCCGTCCTCCGAAGTTGGCTCAATTTCATGTTCGTTGCATCGCTGACACTGTCTAACCATCTCATCCTTTGCCGTCCCCGTCTTCTTTGACCTTCAATCTTTCCCAGCATCAGGGTCTTTTCCAGTGAGTGCTCCCTTCTCATTTGGTGGCTCTATACATACCCTGCCTATAATAATTATAGCTATTTCGCTAACCGTGTTAGCCCCCCCAAAAAACAGTTTAGAAGTAAGAAGGTAGAGCAAAGATTGCTTTCAGGCTTCAACATGCTAGAGGTGTGGGGAAGGAAAAAATCTCTCTACGAGCCATCAAATTAAGCATAGTTTTCTACTCAAATTAATTCTGACAGGTAATTGAACTGTACCTTATTCTGCATGAAATGTCTTGAGCGAAGAGACCTTAAGGGTAAATGTCAATACTGTAATTGCATTTGACATGTCTGTTTTCTAATAAAATGATAATAAGATTTTTAAGTCAATTATAACCAACTCCACACCTTCAGTACCCTCCATCCATCCATTGTACTGCATTTTATTGCACATGAAAGGTACAACCAGGAATGCTGACACTTTTTTTTTCCAGTGCATGTTTTGCTGAAGTGAAATCATTGGAAATTAAGCAGAGAAGAATCACACAAACGCATTGTTGCTCTATCAGGATCAAGTCAGCTATTGTGTTATGTTAATCTGTGGTTGGAAGGCACATGATCTGGCAGTCTGAACCCAAGTAGATTCAGGTCTGGCCAATGCCTGGACGAAAAACCCAGAGTATGCAGCCTTGAGTTCCATAATGAAAGGAAAGGCAGGATGCAAATGAAAACAAAAAAGACTGGCCCTGACCTGGATAGCCCAGGCAAGCCTGATCTTGTCAGATCTTGGAAGCTAAGCAGGGCCAACTCTGGCAAGTACTTGGAAGGGAGACCTCTAAGGAATACCAGAGGCAGGACACAGAGGCAGACTAATCAAGCCAACTCTCTGAAAAATGTCCAAGCCCCCAGTAGGGGTTGTCAGAAGCCACCATGACCTTCAGGCAAGCACACAAAACACACACACAAATATATATATATCAAGTTCTGCCCATCAAGAGGCAAATGATGGCTAAGAAAAGGTGTGGATGCTTACTTGAACCTGGGAGTAAGCCTCACTAAATACACCTGAAAGCCCTTCTAAGCAAACATGCATACAATCAGCTTGGCAAGGTGAGTAGTTATAAGGGTATTAAGAACAGTATTAGCAGCACTGCTAAGGTTTGCAGAAGGCATAAATCTCCTCCCCCCAAACCCCCCCTAAAAACCTCAAACTAAGATTTCATTGTGTTGGATTCAGTTTAAGATATCAATGATACTTAAGCTACTTACATTCTATTTAATTTATCCATCAAAGATGTCCATAACTGCAATTCAAGGCAGTAACACTATGGAACCAATTGTTCATACTGTAGTCAAATGTCCCCACTGTCTCTCTGCCCCAGCACCCTACAGCTGCAATCCTGGGTGTGTGTGTGCTTTTTAGGGTTTTTTAAAAAGAATTGATAGTTGATCAGTTGCTATAACACAGAAATATGTCAATTAATCACATTAATTCCCCCCCAAAACCATCCCCAATAAAATGGAGGGGGTGGCAGCAATGGGGGGCTGCAGCACAGAAAATGGCACCAAGTGAGTGAAACTGGGAAAGATCTGGACTTTCCTATCACCCTAGCTTTGCTGTGATCTTTCCAAAATATTAAAGAAAAGCAGGTTTAGGGACTTGGGGAAAGCCACAAGATGCACAAGAGTACCACAATGCTGATGGGAACAAGACTCACTTCTCATGAACTCAGAGCAGGAACAAACAAGCCGTATGGAATCTACCTCTGTCTTTATCTGGACTGGGTTTCAGTTTATTCACCTTCATTCAGCCCATCGATAATTCCAAACAGGTACTCCACAACCAATGTTCCCTCTAAGCTGTGGAGTCTTGTGAGCAAAAATTCTACTTTGTGAGCTACTGGCATTGAAGCTGTGAGCGGGCAATTCGGATACTGCATAAATTAGTTTGCTCTGGAGCCATCCTTCCTGAGCTAAGACAAAAATGTGTGAGCCGGAGGCTAAAAAACTGTGAGCTAGCTCACACTAACTCAGCTTAGAGGGAACACTGTCCACAACCATACAACTAAATCTTCAACAGCATACGGAAAACATCCCCCCCTGCGCCCCCCCCCCCCGAATCCTGGGACAATCTATATCAGTGGTTTAATGTAAATGCTAACTAACATGGGAGAATAGAAGACAATCTTCAGAGACTCTACGATGTCACCACTGAGAAGCTGAACAATAACCCGCCAGCACCATTTTCTAAAACCCGCGTAAGAGATAGAAGCATGGTTGACCACAAAGCAAACTAGGAGAACAACACAATCAATGACATCAAAAGTTTCTTCATGGTCCAAGTGCCATTGTGGTGTAATAGAACATCAGAACAGGAGAGGGGAAAGCCTGAGTTCAAAGCCCCGTTAAACTCACTGGATAACCTTGGGATCTTCATAATAAGTTAAAATAAAGATAAAATGGGAGACACTATTTACACTGTCCTAAGCTCCAGTATAAAAAGGACAATAAAAATGTAAAAGGTAGGATAACATTTCCTGACAAAAGTCATCTACTAAGATGACCAAATGAGGTTCTGTAAAAACAGCAGGAACCATGGGTGGGTACATGGAGGGAAACCATTCTAAACATCAGCAGAGACTAAAATGTAGGACAGGAGCCATTTTGAGATCTATCATGTAAAAGCTGCACAGTGTATCAGTCTTCACTTTCCTGTGGCAGACAAAAGCACATCATAATCTCATGGAAGCCTGGGGGACATTAATTCAGAAGAGCGCTTTCACTCAGGAAGCACAGGTTTCGAATCCAAAAAAATACTTCAGTCATGCAACTTTGTTGTTGTTGTTCAGTCGCAGTCGAGTCCGACTCTTCGCGACCCCATGGACCACATCACACCAGGCCCTCCTGTCTTTATGCAACTTTATGGACTGCAAAAAAATTACCCAATATCTATGTAAGAAAATAACCATTTTTAAGTGTCTTAAAATTTTGTTCTCCCGTAAGAATGAACACTGCCACATACCAGAGATTATCTATAGTTGTAGGAACACGTCGCAACCCTAGAGTCGGACTCGACTGGCTTTTGAGCAAGGGAACCTTTACCTTTACCTTTTTAGGAACACATACATGAGAAAACCAAACACAAGGTTGTCCACAAGCTTGGGAAAAGTTAAAGAACTTTGACCTTAAGATAAATTTTTGTCCAAACATTTTCTTGGTACTTAAATCCATTAGTGTATATATAACGTTTTCAGGTAAACACTGGTTGAACTCAGGTTTTTTTTTTTAAGGACTGGCTCAACTGAATAGCGTAAACTCCAGCACTCCAGTTTCGCATTTAATTTTGCAAGTTAAACTACCAAAAAAATTTAAAAGCCACCTGCATGCAATAACAACTGTCTTCGGCCCTATGCACACCTACTCTGAAGAGAGTACCACTGGGGACATGCTGTCTGGGATCAGGCTGAATGATTCAGAACTTCAGAAACAAGCCTTCACCATAGACACCGGGCAGCAGGACTTCTTTCTCTTCCCTGGATCAGCCATGGAAATAATTAAGCTGGGAGGGGGCGGGAAGGAACAAAAATAATAAAACCCTTGTACCAGCAGCGTGTGGTCCAAAACAGCATGCCAGGGCTTGTCCAAGGACCACAAGGAGAACAGCAAGAGAAAACAATAAACAAACAGGACAGCCAGGGGCAAAAGAGGCTCCACTACCCTTAAGAGCTTTCTGCATTCCGGGACGGAATTTCCCTTAGTGGCGCTTGTCCCGCAGGATCGACAGAAGCTGCGCTTGCAAAAATTCTCCCTCCGTCATTAAAAGGTGCAGAAGCCCTGCCCTCCTGCACACTCTGGAAATAACACTCCTCGGGAAGGAGAGTCAACGTGGGTCAGTGGTGGGTTTGGACTCGGGAGTCCCGGTTCAAATATCCACTCTGACTGCCATGAAACGTAAGGGTAAAACTTGAGCCAGTCCTTCTAGCTCAACCTAGCCTACCTCCCAGGGTTGCTATGAAGAGGAGGGAGAACCACGCAAGCCAGCCTGGACTCCTTAGAAGGAAGGCGAGATTAAAAACAAACACACAACTAAGTGCATGTTATAGCTGGAGCGCCCTTCTTCCCTTCACCCCTTAGTCCTATTTATACTAGTACAGCACGAACATTGTGGGGCTGCTATTGCCCTCTCCTCCTCCGCTCCCGCCAAGAAGAAGAGCCCCGGCCAGAAGGGCGCCGCTCACCGCATTTCTGCAGCCCGTTGGTGCCGGGGGCCATGGGGCTCGGCCGGCTGCCGTCCTTGACTTGGGTCTGAGCGCTGCTCGAGCACCCCATGGCGTCGCAGGGCCAAATCCGCGCTCAGGGCTGGAGGAGACGCGCGACTCCTTCCTTGGCGAGCGCGCCAACTCTCCGCTTCGGCTCCCGCCAGGCGAATGCGCGCAGGTGCCTCCTGGCCGGGGAAGCCAGCCCCAGCTGGGCTGCGCGTGCCACCGGACCTCCCAGGCTCGCGCTGGAATGTTTACCGCCGGCGCTCTGTTGCCATAAGAACGGCGCGGTCAGGGGGAGCCGAAGAGGTTCCACTGTCTGCTGCAAACTTTTGGCATTCTTTCTGGCAGGCGCAGGCGCGGCAGGGGTGGTCCGAGGCGCGCGCGGAGGGACGCCGGGATGGGAGGGCGAGCGAGGTGATGGCCAGGGCCATGCCGACCCTGCGTGGTAGACAGCTGTACACAGTCGCCCCAAACACAGCAGCAACCCACGTGGCCGCCCACCGCCGCGAGTTTACGTGGGGCTTCCTTGTCGACCTTTAGGACAGTTATAAAAGTTTGGGGCAAAAATAAACCAGTGTCCAGAGGCCCCCGCAATGTCCTTATTCCACAACAGCCTTTTTCTTTATACAGATAAAATCCTTTGGGCCAGAGTGTGGCTATAACCTGTCCAAATTAAAGGGAGGATTCCGTTTCCAGTTTTAATTGTCATTATTTTCTAGATGTCCATGCAACTAGTTAAGTAAATGGTTGCTGCCCAGAACCGGGAGGAGTCGGGACTGATTACAGGCAAGAGAGAAGCAAGTATTGGCTCTAACCCCCCAGCCCCGTTCGTGGAGTACACAACTTAAACATTGGAGGGTCGTCTGCTGTATTAGGTAGTACAACAAGTGATGCGAGCAACCATTTCACAACAGTTGGAGCAAGAATGGTGGTGTTTTGCAACACACTGCTGGATTGCTAGCTAGTGGCAACAAGTGTGCAAACTGTAACAGCCTCTTTTTAGCACACAAAACCAGTGCACGATGCTTAACTTTAAACCTAACAATACAGACAAAAGAACAAAGTTTGAGTTCAGTGGCACCTTTGAAAAGTCCTTAGACTAACACAGTGATTTAGCTCTAAGACTTTATTAAAGGTTCGGAACAAGACAAACTAACCAGCTCGCAGGCTGGTTTATATGTGCAACAACCCACACCTAAAGCACACCCACACACAAGTGATTGGCTATTTACAGTGGCCGAGAGTTCCATAGGCTCTCGGCCGGGAGCCTAGCCTGCCAATAGGCGCTGGCTAGGATCCGCTAGTCCCATTGTTACTGCAAGCAAAGCTCGGCCACTTCACATGACCGCATGGTGAACTGGCCACGCACGCGGTCTGAGATGGATACATTACAACGTTTATGACCAACAAAGTTTTATTCATGGTATAAGCTTTTGCATGCATGCGCACTTCTTCAGTGTATCTGAGGTAGTGTGCGTACACATGAAAGCTCATACCTTGAATAAAACTTTGTTGGTCTTAAAGGTGCCACTGAACTCAAACTTTGTTCTTTGCTTCAGACCGACACAGCTACCCACCTGAATGTAGACAAAGTAATTCTTGAAAGACTTCAACAAAACTAAATACTGTTACCACAGCAAATTACATTAGGGCACTTGGAGACACAAGGAGTTGCGGTGGCTCAAGTGGTTAAGACGCTGAACTGCAGGCTGTGGAAGGTCAGTAGTTCAGCGGTTCAAGACCCGGGTGCCGCAAGACAGGGTGAGCTCCTGTCTCTAGTTCCAGCTCCTGCCAACCTAGCAGTTCGAAAGCAAGAAATTGCAAGTAGATAAATAGGGACCACTTCGGTGGGAAGGTAACAGCGTTCCGTGCGCCTTGGTGTTTAGTCATGCCGGCCACATGACCACGGAAACGTCTTCGGACAGCGCTGGCTCTTCGGCTTTGAAACGGAGATGAGCACCGCAACCCTAGAGTCGGATTCGACTGGCTTTCGAGCAAGGGAACCTTTACCTTTACCTTACTTGGAGACATTTTATGAGTAAAAGCTACTATATCATTTATTTTAATATTTTATTTTCACAAAACATATTAACATACAAGAGAAGTTCAAACAATAGCGATATACCACCTCGTTTCTATTATCTAATGCTGATTCATAAGACTGTGCCGTAGGCCAGAATGGTTTTCTGAGAATGGAGGGACATGAATCAACAGAAAACAAGCTTCAGGAGAGTAACCACAGTTCTAGACAGAGGGTTTCTGAATGTCAGCAACACAGCTTACATCCTAAAGTCAAATGGGTTCTGTGCTGATAACTGTATATGTTTACCATTTGACCAAAAGGGAAATCAGGTTCACAGGATTAGGGCCAATACCCAGTAAAATGAAGATTGTAGCACAAAATTGTGTGTTTGAGCTGCCATTTGGATCAGACCAGGGAGCTCCCAGCTCACAAGTTACATTACTTCTGTGATTTCATAACTATGAGTGAAGAAAGCTTTTCTAAAAAGCTTTTGAAAAGAATAACACAAGTCAGGTTGCCACAAGACAAGCGGGGGGGGGGGGCTTGTCCCTTTAATAGAGGCTTAATGTATGGGAATGAGCTGTTAAAACTTTTCATGGCATGGGGGTAAATAAAATTGCTTGGTAAATGACCTCCATTAAAAGTAAGCAAGGACTGTTTTTTGGATGTAGTTGGCATCTCTGCCTGGAACTACAGCCTGGAAGACAATAGGAGATGGTGTCTGTGATTTAAACCAGGCATCTTCAAGAGCCAGTAATGCACCAATCTTTTCTTGAAAGCATAAACCGGAAAGGTGATAGCTTATGTAAGACTACAACAAGTGTATGGACAGGGTGAAAAACATACGAAGAGCCCTGTGAGATCAGACCAATAGTCCATCTAGTCCAGCATCCTGACTCACACAGTAGCCATTCAGTTCCTCTGGACAGCACAGAGGCTGAGGCCTTTCCCTGATGTTGCCTCCTGGCTCTGGGATTTAGGGGCTTAGCCCTGGGTCATTGCTAGCCACTGACCACCCAGATGGATCAATGGTCTGATGTGGTAGAAGGCTCCTTTGTATGTTAAAACCTACACAAGCTGTTTTGAGGAAGGTGGAGTTGGCACAAAACTTTTAACATGATAAATCCGACTATTTCCCCCCTGGATGCTACTGAACATCCATATGTTATCACATTGAGAAGACAAGACAAAAGAAAGCATCCTCATCCTAAGTTTAGTCCTGTCTCATTTGCTCCCAGCATCATTTCATATAACACAGAGACACGACTATCTGTGCATGGAAGTTCAAGGTGAGCAGCCGTGTTGGTCTGAAGCAATAGAACAAAGTTAGAGTTCAGTGGCACCTTTAAGACCAAAAAAGTTTTATTCAAGGTGTGAGCTTTCATGTGCACGCACACAAAGAGAAATAACCAGAAAGAAAACGTAGCTACTTCATACCAGTCAAAAGGATTTGGCCAGCAGAGGAAAGAGAGGATGTGGCTAGAAAAGCAGCAACTAAAAAACGGAGCAGAGACTTTCAGCAGTAGCGATATAAAAGGGTTTGAGGAGGTGTTAAATTGGCTTGCATAGTGCACCTATTAAAGGTAGCTGCAGAGACTGGGATGCTGTTTACTTCATTTATAGTCCACCTTTCTCCCCATCATTCTCCTCCTCTCCATTTTATTGTCACAAGAACCCTATGAAGTAGATTAGGTTGAGAGTATGAGATTGGTCAAAGGTCACCCAGCGAGCTTCCATGGCTTAGTGCAAATTTGAACTCAGTTCTCCCAGATCCTAGTCTGACACTTTTAGTCCATCACTTCCAGATCTTAGACCAAGAGCATTGAAGAGGGCCGCTGATGCCCCCTGCAACACTAATTAAGGGAAGAGTAGGCATTTACAAGGGCTGATGCCGAAGGACTGGTGGGGGCTAAAGAATGTGATCTGATAAAATACATAATCTTTTTTGCAAGGTAGTAATACCCATAATGTCAGCTGGACTTTGTAAGCATGTTCAGGCTATGCTCAAATAGACAATTCCAATTCAGGATTTTCTCTACAGTCCAGCAGACTTCATCCCTTTCTCCGCTGTTTTTTTAAAAACCCATTCTTTGATTGGGTGACTGAATGATAAGAAATGTGAGCGCCTATTCAGCAAATGCCTGCCTCATTAGTGTCCCAAATTCCTCATTGTGCTAGCTTTGGAACAATGAGGTGAACTTGTTTTCCTGACAATAAATGAATAGGAGAGTGCATGGCCCAGGGAAAATTGGATGAGCATGTTTACACATGCTTTAAATATGATTGTTATCATAAATCCCAGACTGCCACTTTGATTACCCATTGAGAGAAAACTAGTGGATGAGGGTGCCATAACAGAATTCTAATAAAAGCTCTCTCAGCTGTCTGATGTTCTGAGCTGTCTGGTATTGAAAACATTTCTGCCAGGATTTAGTATATGCCAACACAGCCTTGGAAGATTTTAGACTACAGATTAAAAAGTAGGATGTTGACATTGATTAAACTTAGCTGAACTAAATGGGCCTCAAAATTCTACACACAGCATCTCCATCCTTACAAGGATTTAAGGTTATGGGAAGAATAGCTACTATTAAGATGAATGTTTTACCGAGAATTCTCTTTTTATTCCAAACAATTCCAATTGTACTGAACCAACAATACTATAAAGAATAAGAAAAATTGACACGGCAGTTTATATGGCAAAATAAAAGACCAAGAATTAAGATGAAAGTGTTACAAGACGTGAAAGAAAGGGGAGGCTTCACAGTACCCAATTGGCAACTTTATCATAAAGCTACAGCCCTGACTTGGTTGAAAGAATGGATTACCCTGGAAAACTCAAGGCTATTGAAATTAGAAGGTCATGATTTGAAATTAGGATGGCACGCCTTTATATGGTATGAGAAAATGGAGGTACATAAATATTTTAAACAACATTCAGTGAGAGCATCTCTGTTAAAAGTTTGGGAAGGGGTTAAACGTATATTTTATACAAAAATACCTAAATGGGTCTCACCTTTAGAGGCTTTTATCACTAAGGAACCTATATGGACATATGAAGATTTGTTAGATAAGAAGAACTTACTAAAACCACAAGATGTTTTGCAAAGTCAGGGTGTTGCTCTAAACTGGTGGGGAAAGGTGCAGTTAGATTCCAGATATGTAAAAGACAAGAAAATCAGTTTTTGTGACAACCTTACTGAAATAGATAAAATATTGATGGGTAAAGATGTAAAATATATAAAGATGCTTTATA